AATAGAAGAGTCGCCAACAAAATTTAGGAACTTGTAAACTGTTCACAGGTACGAAGGTTACATCCCATTCACGATCATGGAGATCGATAACTCCATAATGGTCCGGAATCATGACTAGATATTCGGGGATGATGGTACGAATCCAACCTAAAAGAGATTGAACCCGCCCAAAATCGGCCTTTACTTAATTCATATGATATTCATGTGTGCTTTCCGATCAACATACATACATCAAGTTAATCCTAAGCATATTTAATCTACGTTGGTTAATTATTAATGCACAATCAAATCTATTATTGGTGATCACTTGAATTAAAATCATATTAGCCTAAATCAAATTATTAATTATCTTATTAGGCCTAATTTCAAGTACAAGTTCCCTTTAAACCTGCAAAAAAGGGCGTGATCAAGCAATAACAATCAATCATGAATAATCAAGCAACATATGATTGACACAACAATCATCATCATAATAATATCAAAACATCATTAGTAAGATCCTAGGCATGATACTAAACAGATTAATAACAAACCCTAGCATGTCATTAATAAAAATCATAATCAAAGCATTCACCTAAACATGATACTATAAATCATAAAAAAAAAAAAAAAAAAAAAAAAAAAAAAAAAAATCCTAACATGATACTAGAAATCATAAAAACATCCTTACATGATATATAGGAATCAAAATAATATCCTAAACATGATTTCTACTCCAAAATCAAGGATTAAGTATTTGAATTACTTACGTTGATGTTCCTCCCTTCTTGCTATTAAAACAATAAATACGTTAGTAACTTCAAGAAAGATTAAAGTAACAAAGTAAATAAACCAAATAATAATTGAAACATAGATTTGGGACCAAACCCTCAGAACTATCAACCTTTCACGTCAAGGTCGAAGGCAACGTCGAGGAGTGAATCTCGTGAAGGAAGTATGGTGTTTGATTTGGGAGAGTATCAAGGATGTGTGTTTGGGATATGTTTAAGCTAGGCTAAGAACATAAAGGATCAAGAGAGAGAAAGAATATTAGAGAGGGTATTGATGATGATTGTTGGTGAATCAAAAGGGGGTGAAAACGACCTCTATTTATAGGAAAAAAGAGAGTCGAAACGATCAGAAAAGAGTTATAATTCAAATCAAAGTAAAACACTTCTCATCGCGGCGCGACAGGTCCATCACGGCGCGATGGTGCTGTCACTCAACGATGGTTTTGAAAAAAATAGAATCCTTACAGAGTTCGATTCCTAATCGGATTGGGTTAATAAAATACCCGTACGTATTCTATTTTGATCGGGATTAGGATCATTGAAAAACAGATATTTTATCCGATGTAAAATTTCTTAAACCTTTATCTTTTCGAAAACAGGATAAATTAGAACCTTCTAGAGGATTCTAGAAGATCATAATAAATCCTAATTGGTTTAGGAATGGGATTAAGGTAAATGGACCCTCCTCATGATCATCGGGTCGTAGGTAATGCTTGGTTCGGGCTCAGTTTAGTATTTTGGCCATAACTTCTTCGTTTTATGTCGGATTTGGGCTTAAAATATATCGTTGGAAAGCTCTTTTCAAACCCCATCCAACTATATAATAATTGGACCAAGATTATGGACCAAAATAATCTGGTTTGGACGTTTTCATAAGTTGGACACGAAATGAATTATTTTAAAAAACACGAAATGAATGATTTTGGTTTAAAACATTTAAAGAAAGGTTAGAAATGATTAAGGATAAAGGGAATTCACGAGACTTTTCAACCCTTCACCTAACTCGATAATCAAAGACGTGAAAGGTACTCATCACCAGGTTTGGTTTTTGGGGAGACACAATCAGGTGTCTACAGATAGATATAAGGCAAGACTTGTAGCCCAAGGATTTTCTCAAATTCTAGGGATTGATTATGAAGAAACATATTCTTCAGTAGTTGATGCAATCCATTAAGATTTATGGTAAGTTTAACAGTCACAAAAGGACTGCAAATGCAATTAATGGATGTAGGGACAACATATTTGTATGGGCCACTCGATACAGACATTTACATGAAAGTCTCCGAAGTACTAAAACTACCAGAAAATCACAATCCTAAACAATTACTTTCTATAAAACTAAAAAGATCACTTTATGGATTGAAACAATCTAGGAGGATGTGGTATAACCGTATCAGTGAATACCTTATGAGAGAAGGGTTCAAGAACAATCAAATTAGTCCCTGTGTTTTAATAAAGCGATCATAATAAAGATTCGCTATCATTGCAGTTTATGTTGATTGTCTGAATATCATCGGAACCTCAAATGAAATTGAGAAAACTGCAAAATAGTTGATGAAAGAATTTAAGATGAAAGACCTTAGAAAAACTAAATTTTGCCTTAGATTGCAAATTAAGCACTTGAGTCATGATATTTTTGTCCATCAATCAAACTATACAGGAAGAGTTTTGAAAAGATTCTTCATGGACAAAGCAACTCTAATAAACTTCCTAATGGTTGTTCGTTCTTTGAATATGAAAAACGATCCATTCAGACCCTGAGAGAAAAATGAAGAAATTCTAAGTCTAGAAGTACCATACTTAAGTGCAATTGGAGCCTTAAAGTACTTAGCTAACAACACTAGACCCAACATAACTTTCTCTGTGAACTTGTTAGCCAGGTACAGTAATGCACCGACATACAGACATTAGAAGGGAGTCTGACACTTAATCCGGTACCTACAAGGGACACAAGACCTCAGTTTATATTATCAACCAAAACAAAATGCTGCTCTCGTTAGGTATGCAGAAGCTCGATACTTATCGGATCCCCAAAATGCCAAGTCACAAACTAGATATATGTTCACTTATGGCGGCACTGCAATATCATGGAAATTCAACAAAGTAGAAATTGACCGGGACATCCTCAAATCATGCAGAATTGATAGCTCTTTATGAAGCAGGACGAGAATGTGTATGGCTAAGGTCGATGATCAGTAATATCCAAGAAGAGTGTGGAATGAACGCGATAACAGAAAATCCAACCATCATCTTTGAAGACAATACAACATGCATCTCTCAAGTAACTGAAGGATACATTAAGGGAGATAGAACAAAACATATATCCCCAAAACTATTTTTCACACATGATCCGCAAAAGGATGAGGAAATAAATATCCAGGAAATTCAGTCTTGTGACAACCTTGCCGACCTGTTCACTAAATCACTTCCTTCAAAGAAATTTGAGCAATTAGTTCACAAAATTGGAATGCGACATCTTCGTGAATTATGTTGAAATCAGGGGGAGTATTATATGAAATGTTCTCTTTTTTTCCTTCTATTAGGTTTCTATCCCATTGGTTTTTCCTGACAAGGTTTTTAATGAGCCAGTATACTAAAGCATATAATACAATACCGTTGTACTCTTTTTTCCTAGCTATGGCTTTTATCCCATACGGTTTTACCTAGCTAGGTTTTTAATGAGGCAACTCATATCCCATTTAATGTGAACGTTCAAAGGGGGAGTGTTGAGAAAAATCCAAAGATGATTGAAGTTCACATGCATGTAGTTTTAACCGGTTGATGCAATTTTATCTAGTACAATAATTTACATGTAGTACAATGATGTATACTATTATACTCCATAATTTTGGCTATATAAGAGAAGTTTACGTATTGTGAACGAGTGCGGATAAAAATCAAAAAATTCTATCATACTACTTACTTTCTAACTCTTCACTGATAAATCTCAACTATCGGTAAAAATTTTAACAAATGCTTTTTTTTTTTTTTGAATAGTAACAAATGCTTATATATAACATATAACATTACCCTAAAAATAATAGGAGTAGTTCGCAAATTGATTTTAAAACAAGGCATTTTTTAACAACAATATTGTCTAATAATTATGGATGTCAATTCGCGTAAACGGTTCAGTTTCGAGTTAAGTTTATCGGTTTTGGCCTTTCGGGTTATAACGAATCGGTTTATAACGGGTTGAAATGATTAGCGGGTCAGTTTGGGTCGGTTTTGAAAATTATTGGGTCAGTTCGGTTTGGTTTTTTTTAATTGCGGTTTCTACTCGGGTTGGGTCCTACTCGGATCAGGTTGTAATCGGTTCGGTCATAATCAGTTTGGGTTAAACCAGGTCGGTTAGAAAATGGGTTTAGCTAGTTTAAAGCGGGTTTTGAATAATTCGGGTCCTAATCGGGTCGGGTTGTAATCGGTTCGGGTCATAATCAGTTTGGGTTAAACTGGATCGGTTTAAAAACAGATTTTGGTTCAAAACAGACCGGGTGAAATCGGGTCGGGTCTTATTGATTAAGGTTCAGTTTGGATTGAATTGGGTTTGTTTGGAAACAGTTTTAACCAATATGATGTGTGTTTCAGTTCAAATCATATCAGGTTAAAATCGAGTCGAGTCATTATTGAGTCTGGTTAATAAGATAATATGTAGAAACGGATTAGGTTATAATCGAGTTAAGTCTTAAATAAGTTGGGTTTATCGAGTAGTGGGTTGAAACGGATCAGATCATAAACATATTAGGTTACAAGTTGTAAACGACTCAATCATAATGAATTACGGTTTGTAAACAGTTCGGTCACAGCGGGTTATGGGTTGTAAACGTTTTGGTCCTAACTGGTTACAGGTTATAAACGGTTCGGTCACAACGAGTTATGGGTTGGAACGGTTCAGGTTAATCGGATTTTTGCCGGGTTTAAACGATTTTCGGTTTAAAATGGGTTGGGTTACTATCGGGTTCGGATATAACAAGTTCGGGTTGCTTTTGATTTTCGGTTGTAATGGTTTGACTTATTAACGGTTTGCACAACTTCGGTTCAGTTCAGTTTCGAGTTTGAAAAAATTAGGTCGGGTCGATTTTTGGTTTTCAAAAAATGGGTTTTGAACGGTTCGATTCCTTTTCGAATCGGTTCGAAACAGTTAGATTTAACGGTTTGAGTCAAAAACTAACAGCTTTACTGATAATAATAAAGGGATAAATGACGCAAAAAATTGGCATCCATGGTTAGTGAGTCTCTTACAGTATCAACCCAACCCAGCTAGCCTAATGTCCACGCGTCACCTGACCTCTCTTTCCCCCTTTACAACTCTCTCGAAACAACCCCTTTTTCCATTTCCAACTTCTCTCAATTTATTCTCCAGATTTCCTCTTTCTTCTCCAAATTATTCCAGTTTCTCTGCTTCTGTTTCAGCTTCTTCCATGGCTTCCGAAGCTAAAAAGGTATAATTTCCTATCTATTTTTCTTATACTGTTCATGGGTTTGTTTCATTTTTTCGAATGACAAAAATCTCTTTAATTTATGTAACATTCTTCAATTCATGATTTTGCTTATATTGTGTTTTGTGGGTTTTGGGTGTTAATCAAAGCTTAACCTATTATTTATTTGCTTCAACTTTGTTGATTGTTAGTGGGGTTTTGTGGGTTTTGATTGTTTGTTTTTCTCATCAATATAATCTCTTTTATATATGTGATCATGTGTAATTTTTGTTGCGGTAATTATACTTTTTGTACTTTATATAATAGGCCATATTTCTGTTTGGAGTGTTCTGAACTGATTCGACTGTTGGAATTAAGTTTGAAAACTTACTAGTTACTACTATAGTACTATATGTTACATTATTGATAAATTGAAGGACTAAATAGTGGCATGGTTAAGATGAAATAAAAATCATGTACAAAGTATATCAACCCATTTCTTCAAGTTTGACCTTCAATCTAATGTGGCATACTTCCTCCGTCCTTTAAAATTTGCAATTATTTGACGTTTGCGCTATTCATACACTAATTTTATCATGTAAAATGTTGTTATGTTGGCCCTTATTGGTTGGGAGGAAATGGGATGAAAAGAAAAGAAAGGAGAGGAAAATTATGGTTTCCTAAGTTCGGTTCTAAAAGTTAAACGGAATTTGATAGGAAATGAAGGGAAATGGAAGGAAAGCTCCCTTCACAAAATCTTCCCTTTCCTCTCCTCCTAAAATTGGAGGAATTTGAGAGGATAGAAAGAAATTAAATCTATCAAGCTTAAGATTAGTTTTTCCTTCCCTTTCATTCCTTTAATAATGTCATACCAAACAATAGATTCCCCTCTTTTCCCTTCCTTTACTGATATCAAACCAAACATTAGATGATATACTTTCTTTCCTTTCCCTTCTCTTTCTTTCTTTTCCCTTTCCATCCATTCCCTTTCTTTCCTTTACTAATATTGAATCAAACATATTTGAGGTATATTATCAATATATTATAAGTAACTTTTTATAATTTTATTTAATTAATCAATTACTTAAGATATTAATGGTCAAAAGTGGTCCAATTGTGCATGCTTTAAAGAACAAAGGAAGTCTTATCTTGGTACTGAGGCTGTATTAATGTTGGAACTTTCTAAAATCATGCATTTTATGCTATTTATTTACTGGGTGATTGTGGATTTTAGGTCTTAGTTCCAATAGCAAATGGAACAGAGCCTATGGAGGCAGTGATTACCATTGATGTCTTAAGGAGAGCTGGTGCTGAAGTGACTGTCGCTTCTGTTGAAAAGGGGCTCCAGGTTGATGCTTGTCACAGTGTGAAGATTGTTGCTGATGCATTGATAAATGACTGTAGTCAGATGGTTTTTGATCTCATTTCTCTTCCTGTAAGTGCTAATTTTTCCCCACTATTTATTTACAGTTGTATATGTAGTGAGTTTACTATCACCTAGTCACCTACCAAATCAGCCATTATAGTTATATGCTTATCGATTGATACCATGGTGTTGAAGTTTCAAATCTAGTTGGTTTGGTACAAAGTCATTAATGTAGCTTAGCTGCTAATTGCAAACCTTTAATTTAGCATTGTGAGATTTGGAGACAAGAGAGGGATGACGTCAATCTTCGTTTTTAACATATCACAAATGCTTTTTTACATAAAAGAATGAATGGGGGTTTCCTTTAGCTGGAAAGCTAGTGTCTTCTGGTATAAGCTTTTTAAAGTCTTGCTTATGTGTTGTAATCTTGTAATACTTGTGTGAGTAACATCTAAGATATTTGGTATACATGCTTATGATTCCATTTGTGATCTTGGAAATTGGAGTTGTTTATTAATTAATGAAGTCGTACCATTCTGAACTATTTATAATGCTGTCACAGTAGCTTGATACTGCAATATGATGTTGAGGTTCCTTATAGTTGAAGGGGTTGGAGGAGTACAAGAGTAGATTAGTACGAAGTATAAAAGATGAATAATGAAAGCTTACTTCAATTTATATAGTACTTCCTTTGTTGTTTCTCTATTTGGTGACTAATGATGTGCTTTGTACAAATTCACTATTTATTTTTTCTTTTTTTTTTTTTTGGGAAACCCTCTTTGCATCCATGATCTTCTGTTTCTTGAACTGGTTACCCCCAACTCACCAATTTCAGTTTTGTGTTAACAAAGTAAAATACTTGTATGTAATAAATTAGTGAACTTAGTTTCTTCATAATCTTCCATCTTAGTTCTCTTCACCTTATTTTGGCTGAACTAGAATTATTTTACTGAATTGAAATTATTTTTGCTGAATTAAAAATTAATTTTACTTATTAAAACTTATATGTATTGATTCTCTATAATAGTTGTTCTTTAAAGTTTTTGATTTTTACTGATTCAAAATTACTGAATATTTTTATTGAACTGAACTTATTTGTACAAAACATAAATCATTTTTACTAACTATTATTTTTATAAGGTGAAGAGAATAGGGCCTTAAGCAGGCCTTTTTCTAAGTTCTAACACAACAAATTTTCTGAGATTCTTCTTCATCAACTTGAACAATTGGCAGTGAAGAATCTATGGCTGTTTGAGTTATGTGACTTATATCTAATGTATTATGAGTAATTCTTAGTATCATGTGCTGAAACTTGCTCTTGATCAACTATATCATCACTGAGAACTAGTTTTAGTTGATGCGTATTTCAAACTCACATGCTTTCATACAAAATTTTCTACTTTGTAGTATTTCTGAATTTGAATTCTTAGTTTTGGAAGAAATTTTTTTTATTAGGGTTTAACATTATTAGTATGCTTTAGATAACCCTCTCAAACAAACAAGGCAACGTTTTATGCTCTTTCATCAACTTACTTTCTTATTTTATTATGAATACCTGCAAAACTATGCATAAATACCTTCCTGTCCAATCCTCCTCTGGTGCCTTATAATGAACACCAAACATTAAACTTCTGTTACTCCCGCTTACAACTTATGACAATATGTCTTCGATTTTTTTATTTTTTATTTTTTTCTTTGCCAGCAAACATCTCACTATATCGAGAATGGCTCAATTTTTTTTCCTCTCTGGCACATTATTTTGTTGTGGTGCATTATAAATTGTGTGCTTTCTTTGTATGCTATGTTGGTTGTTAACTTGGAAGATGCAAGCACATTGATGCAAAATTTATTAATTGATAGAACCCTGCAATAATGAAATAATTACTCTAATGCATTAAAAATTGAAGGTTAACTTGCTGATGTATTGATCAAGGCACTCAAAAAAGGGTTTTTTTGTGTACCTGGGAAAGTTACGTGTTGTCTTCATGGAATTTAGTTGAAACTAAACTGCTGCTAATAAGCATCAGTTATAGGAAAAGGGTTGCTAGCAGAATTATGTATAATAGTTATCTGTTTTCTTTTTTATTTTGTGAAAAGAAATATATATGCTTGTCATTATATGTCTTAGAATTAATCATGTCTTAGAATAAGGTTTACTTTAAGTAATTCCTACTTTGTTGATGTAGTTTGCCTATGAAAGTGTTACAATGTACTCCGTATTGAATAGATTGAAGCAAGTTTTTGGCTTATATCCTAATGACAAAATTGTCATGCTTTTATTGTAAACTGTTAATCTTCATTTTCTACCTTTGTTGTAAGAGCCAGAAGTTACGATGGACGAGTCCTATCTCTTAAGCAAAAACTTTTAGGCATTAAATTTAAATCGCACATCTTTGAGGGCTTACTTGCTTACTTTCTTAATATGTTGGATCTCATAGTTATTTCAAATCCTTTTCATCGTGTGCTAACTGGGAAAGAAGAAAGGGGAAAAAGTTAGAGCGAGACTTTTCTCTGTACACTAACATAAGAAATTTTGATAATTTGCAAGGAAAGGAAAATTTAAAATTTTCAACTGTATAGTAAATGCCAAAAAGAGTTGTGTTACAAGAATAATATTGGGCCTGGTGTTGTACACCATGAACTATTGAACTGATTAGTCAAGTTGTACATCTAGATCTCTGGCTTTGTGAACCTAAAGTTATTAGAAAGGACCGACCTTTAAATTCCATTTTGAAATAGTACCATATACATTCTTGAACAAAAAGTATTAGTTTGATTCTGTTGTGGTCTACTAGTAAGGTGTTTGATTCACCATTGCTTAACACGACAAAGGTACTCCAAAAATTTTCAGATATACCCCCTCTGTAGTTGGTACTTCTTTACAAGAATTTCTAACACTGTTGGATTTTTTATGAGTGTCTTCTCTTTCATTTCTTCCTTGTAATATATCCTGTTTGGAGGTTTTCACTAATGTCAATTATTTAACATGTGTATTTTATTATTGGCAGGGGGGAATGCCCGGTGCTTCTACTTTAAAAGACTCTGCAACCTTAAAGAGCATGGTGGAGAAACAAGCTGCTGAGGGCCGCCTTCATGCTGCAATCTGTGCAGCGCCAGCAGTTGCCTTGGGTTCATGGGGCTTGCTCAAAGGCTTAAAGGTAAGATCTGATGTTACCATTATATGTGGTCATCTAGTTCTGCTGCTTAGCCAATTTATTACCTATTGGGTTCATGAAAATTTTGACAATTGTGCTTCTTATATAGTTATTATTATTATTGCTGTGGTATTAAATATGTGGAAAATTGGAAATAACATTGCATTCGTGGTCTATTAGGCAACTTGTTACCCTTCCTTTATGGAACAATTGTCATCTTCAGCAACTGCAGTTGAATCAAGGGTTCAGCAGGATGGTACAGTTGTGACAAGTCGAGGACCAGGTACTGCCATGGAATACTCTGTGACACTAGTCGAACAATTATATGGGAAGGAAAAGGCTGATGGAGTAGCTGGGCCACTGGTATGCTTTCTCATATGTACACTATTCTTCAAATCACACGTATTTATATATTTGATAAGGAATAATTTAGCTAAATTTTAGGTTGGTTAGACATAGATACATGCATACATCTGTGCATTCTTGAAAAAAGAATTTTAGATTGTGATTTCTGCTTATTGGCTAATGCTGAAGTAGTTGATGTTCATATATTACTAATGTTGAAGATACATGAAAGTAAATTAATCAATTGATGGAAGTAGTTCTAATTGGTCATTATTCATGAATGACCTTATATGAGACTTGAATTACTGCCAATTAGCTCTTTTGGCTGTTATAATCCTGCGAAAATATGACCTTTGTATGAGATTTGAAGTTGTATCATTCATCTCTTCTGGCTATAATAGTCCTACGAGAGTATTACCTTGTATGATACCTATGTTTCCACATGGACACAAGTGTTTGATCTGTAGATCAAGTCTTAAACCTAAAAGAAACAAGGAACAAAATACCTCAACATGTAAGAGTCCCTTCCCTTAGGTCATTGTACCAATTACAACTTAGTGTAAGAGTTCTAGGTGCATCGGGATATGACACCAAGTTCCTTCTTCCATGCTATACAAGTGCCATAGGGCCCGTCCTTATCGACATACATACAAGGAGCAAGATCCAAACATCCCAAAAATGGGGGCTGCAGGAAATGAAAATCATAGAAATGGAGTAATCACAAAGCTAATATTGTAGAATTATAATAACCAAAAGAGCTAATTGATAGTAATTGAGTTATAATTTTTGAACAGGTTTTACTCCTGGACTGAGAGCATTGCATTATTGAGCACAGTGTAGCTAATTCTCCTCTCAAAATTCCTTAATTGTTTAATCAAATTGAATCCTAGGGACTCTTTCAATTTTGAGCGTTGTGTCTCAGAAAGTCAGAAATTTCCTTAAGCCAATAATATTTATAGTAGAACAGATTCTTCTGTGGGCAGTGCCTAGATCACAATAAGTGGAACATGGTATCATTTAGATGTAATTATTTTGTGCTGTTTATAATGGCGCTTTTTTTCTTCCTTGTTTGCTCCCTTTTTTATATAAAATTTTCTTTTGTGGGGTTGTTTTGAAGATATTAAAGAAATAGTTTGTGGTCACTGCTGTTCATATTTTTGTTTTTATATTTTTGTGTTTCCTCTTTTCAACTAGTTTAGAAATTGTATAACTATAAATGATTACAGTTTCATTATTAATACTCGTCTTATTAGTATTGTTTCTCACATTTTCAAACAAGAATGGAATTATGTACTTGATCGAAGAATGTGATGAAATCTGGATAGCCTTACATGCATGGATAAACTGATAAACTGCTTTAATTGTGCTAAATCGTAAGTCATGAACAGTGTGCTATAAGGGTCTTTTATTATTTCTGTTGGGTTGGACAAAATGAATATTTAGACCTGGAATATCATCTTCTACCAACTGTAAGGGTCACCTGAGTAGTTGACCTAGCAGTGATACCCTTGGGTCATAACCAATTAACCGTGGCATTTTAGTTCTACAAAAACGTGCCTACAAGACTAGTGTTACGTACTATTTGCCTGATTGTCTGTCACGTAGCCTACGTGTGGTGTAAACTCATTATCTTCCTTTTTTTGGCAATTCCAAAATGACGATGCCACTTTTGCTTGATTGTCTTGCTATATTCTTGATTCTGATTCCCCTAATCTGTTCAGATCACGCGTTCCAATCACGAGGACGAATATTTAATCAGGGAGCTAAATTCAATGCAATGGACATTTATTGATTGTCCACAGGTGAGATTTGTCATCCTTATGTTTCAACTGTTTGGCTAACTGGACAATCATATCACATTATCACCCACACTCCTGTCATTTTCTTCTAGCTAGTCAAATAATTAATTTGGGTCCATTTCACTAAAGTCTTAGATTTAAATCATTTAATAGGCTGGCTGTCCCTGGGGCCCTAGGACGATTTTGTATGCCACATTAAAGCTTATAATAGCTGCTGCAGCTACTTTTTCACACACACGCACACACGTACACGGCCTACACGCACACACACACGAAGACGCTTGCGCGCTCACACACACATGCATGTACATGCGTACACGTGTGTACACACTCATATAATTTGATTCAGATTAACGTATTACTCTGGAAATTAAAATTAATTAATACTGACATGGGAAATAATGCTCTAGATCATGGCTAGAATTCAGGACTCAGGATATATGACATTTGTGAGATGTTTAACTCATTTTTATTAGATACTAGGAATGTTAGTCTGCTAGGTATGAAATAGACAAGTCTGGTTTAGATTTTGGTCAAAGTGCTAAAATAAACAGCTGATCTATTTCGTATCAAAACTGCTCGAATCGAGATTTCTTTTTATTTATTCTTCTTACCTATTTTCTTTTTCTCCAAATGATTGTGGATTTTCTGCCCTTAGATTCTTGTACCAATAGCTGATGGTTCAGAAGAAATGGAGGCTGTCATAATAATCGATGTCTTGCGACGAGCTAAAGCAAAAGTTGTGGTGGCTTCTGTTGGAGAAAAGCTGGAGATTTTGGCTTCTCGGAATGTGAAACTAGTGGCAGATATGCATCTTGATGACGCTGCACAGTCCTCTTATGATCTTATTGTCTTGCCTGTAAGTAGTGCACAATTGAACCTTTTTTCTCCTCTCCCTCTCCCCCTCCCCCTGCCGGAGAAAAAAAAGAGAGAGAATTCCAGATTAGCCCGTAAAAAAAAGGCTTAAACATTAGATGCTCCGCATGTTGGCAGGGTGGACTTGGAGGCGCCCAGGCATTTGCAGCCTCAGAGAAGCTGGTTGAGATGCTGAAGAAACAAAGGGAATCGAACAAACCCTATGGAGCAATATGTGCATCTCCAGCTCTAGTCTTCGAACCTCATGGCTTGCTTAAGGTAATTCATGCAGATTGCTTTCCAGTACCCAGAGAAACTATGCTATTCTATATGTTTGGCATTGTGGACTTGGTGCTGCCCAGGCATTTGATTGATCTAATAATATTAGTTTTATGGAATTAATACTTAAAAAGATCAAGAAAATAAAGAGCGTCGTTATTTGCTTTGCTTCTGATTATATAAGGATATTTATGTAATTGTTGTTTGGTATACAGGGCAAGAAGGCAACAGCCTTCCCTGCTATGTGCAATAAGCTATCAGATCCAAGTGAAATCGAGAACAGGGTTGTGGTCGATGGCAACCTTATTACCAGTAGAGGGCCGGGCACCAGCATGGAGTTTGCACTTGCCATAGTGGAGAAATTTTTCGGTCGCCAGAAAGCAATCGAACTTGCGAAGGTGATGCTGTTTGTGAATCCATAAGAGTCTTGTGTGTATATTTTGAAGTAGTCTGACTTCTCGAGAGCTGTAAATTCTGAGAGATGAGCTTTGTTGTATAATAAGCAATGACCTTGTAACGTTGTTGCTTCGATAAATAAAGCTAGTCAGAATCTTGAGTTTATGGTTTTTGAGTTCTGACTAAGGCCTTGTTTAGTTCAACTTATTTTTACTTATTTTAGAAAAAATAAGTTTAGATCAGATCAGAAAAAATAAGTTCAGATCAGAACATCGTTTTATGTGCGGTTTTTTATCGCTAAATATTCTTAATTTCGTAATGAAAAAAATTGTGAAAATTACATATTAATAAACTACACATTATTACGAATCTAACAAGATCTCACTTGATATATTTTTTCCTTATAGATTATCGTACACTTAAGGTCAAAGTTTGGTCAAATCAGACAATCAGATCAGATCAGACTAGACTAGATAAGATCAGTAAAAATAAGGTGAACCAAACAAGGCCTAAGTTGTTGGACTGGGTTACAAGTTAAGCAAAATTTTATCGGTTCTATATATAATTATATATATAGGTTTTTTTTTTTTAATTAACAAAGGTCTATACACAACTATAAGTTCTAAAAACAAACAATATCAAATAATGCAAATTGAACATTAAAAGGATATGTCATGTTAATTAAACAGGTAAAAGCATGAGAAGAAAATTTTGTTAGAGCACTCAATGGCAAAGGATAAAAAAATTCCCTCATCACTCTCTTTTAGGAATGGCAGTGAATTTGGACTCGACTCGAATCTGTGGATCTAAATCCCTTTTTCACTAATATGGGTCTTCAAAATTTGGACCTGATATATCTGGGTTCTGTTGAAAAAAACGTATATGGATCAGGGTCTAACCCTCATACCCGTACCCGGATCTGTTTACCCGTTTTATAATTCCCCTACAAAAAAGCACTGAAATTGTTTGTTTCTTTATTACTGTTGTAATATTGATGATGTTAGTAGTTGATGAATCACATTTATATAAGATTTATAAGCATGTTTATGCTAGTTTTATAGGTGTTTTTGTCGCTTCTTAGGTCGCAAATGTATAAGTTGTCCGTTGTGTGCTTTATTGCGCTTCATTTTTGTTTTCTTAATGTTTCATGTAGCTTTTATAACTATTTGGACGCTTTGGGAGTAATTATGGAAGAATCGGACAATGAAAGGTTGAAACATCGATGAATCGAGGTCGCTCAATGAAAGATATGTGTTTGTGGAAGCTTAGGTCAATATTTATAAGCATACGGAATGAAAATAGCATCCACAAGAGTTGCAATGCACCTTTCATAGATGAACTTGAGTAAGAAACGAAGGAAAACGATGGTTTGCAAAGTGTCAAAATAGATCTTTGGTCACTCTTTTGATCATAACTTGAATTCTACAGATTGAACTGAAGCGATTCAAATTGCGTTGGAAACTAGACTTGAAGAGCTTTCCAACGATAGGTCACACGCCCCTATACGCTTCCTGAAACTCAAGATATAGCCCCTGAAAGACGACCCTGCGAACCAGCGGACGAGCTGCGCCCACAGCTCGATACAACCAGCCACGAGCAGCTACTGCTTTGGCCGCTGGATACCCAGCGGGCGCTGGTTTGGACGTCCACAGCAGCAGCTCAAGATGGGACTCGTTCCCACCTTCGCAAGCTTTGTTGACTACGATTCCATATGTCGCCTTAATCGACCAATCATAATATGACTTATGTAATTGCTTTTTTTCTGATTTTATTTTATTTATTTATCTTTAGACTAGTTTGAGGATCTCCTTTTCTCTCTTCTCTCTCCTCCCTCCTCCCTCCTCTCTCCTCTAGGGTTTTAGTTTTTGAGAATTTTGTTTTTAGGGATCTGATAATAATTGGGAAGGTGATTTGGGTTCATATGGGTTTAGGGTTTGTCATCAATTCTACGATCAAAATATCAGCGCAGATTGCGAAGGTCTCTACTTGAAAAGATGCAAAGACATCGAAAATCACTGCTTGTGTCAAGATTAAAGCGGTGGAGTATGAGATCTACTAAATATGCAAATTAGTTATGATTTTGATCGAAAAAGTTATGTTAATTTCTCTAAATTTGTGGTTTACAAATCTTTATTATGATTGTAGATATCGCATGGCTATTTATTAATGAAATTATTTCTTTTCGTCAAAAAAAAAAAAAAAAAAAAAAATTAGTTTGAAGATAATTTCAATACTCAAGGGATATTATTTTTCCCTCATGCCGTTTATGCCTTTTATTATTTTATGGTTTTTTTAGTTTTTCCCCTGGCCTTAGTTTCTTATGGACAACTCCATGGATTCCTCCATGATTTTGTTCTTGAGTTTGTTGTTTTGATTTATAGAGGTAATTTTAAAGAAATTTTGTTAATTACTACCTCAAAAACAGAGGCTTTGTGAATTACTACCCCTAAAAAAAAGTTTTTAATTACTACCCCTAAAACCGATTAATTCAAAAATGATTGCTACCCTTTTCCCTAATCAGGCGATTTAAGCTCTTAAAGATATCATTATCCGGCTAATTTGTAATTAGTTACTTTTAAACCTTAATTAACTAATTAAACCCTAGAATCACCTCCACACCACCATTGCACCACCACCCTACACCCGGCCCCTCACCCGAAACCACCGTCTCCCTCCCCTCGCCAGAAACCGACCCCCTCCCCTAGCCCCACCAAGAACCCAACCTCAGCCACTTGAACCCTAATTTTTCTTCGCAATGCCCTCAATTTCATCTCCCACCTTGTTCAATTCGCGGCATTTTTTGTGAATGATGAGGCTGCTAGGCTTCAGATTCCGGTTATTGGGTTGGTGGATTCGATTGTTTCGAGGGAAATGGGTTTTGGCGAAGGGGGATGGAGTTTCAATGGTTTCGGGAGAAGTTAGGGGTGAAAATGGTGGCTTGATGGTGGTTTCAAGAGAAGAAGGTGGGGGCTGTGAGTGGTTTTGGGGGAAGAGAGTGAGGCTGCGGGTGGTTTCGAGGGAAGGGAGTGAAGCCGCAGGTGGTTTCGGGGGAATTTGGTGGTTTTCGGTGGGATTGGGGAGGGAGATGGTGGTTTCCTCTGGGGGGGCTAGGGAGGAGGCGGTGGGGCTGCGGTGGGATGGAGGTGGTTGGGTTCTTCGGCGAGGGGGAGGGGGTTAGGGCCGCCGGCGGGTGGGGAGGGGGGATTTTTCGAGGGTGGGAGGGATGGTTGGGGGTTTAGAGGTGGTGCAATGGGTGGTTTAGAGGTGGGGTGGATGCCAGGGTAGGGGTAGGCTGCTTATTAGCTTGCGGCAAGGGGATGATGGGGTAAGGGGCTGCCGGAGATGGTGGGGATGGGATAAGGGGGCTGTCGGAGGTGGTGCAGTGGTGGTTTAGAGGTGGTGTTAGGGTTTATTTAATTAATCATGGCTTTAAAACAACTAATTATAATTTTGCTAGACAATGATGTCATTAAGAGCTTAAATCACCTAATTAGGGGTTGATTAGGGAAAGGGGTAGCAATCATTGAATTAATCGGTTTTAGGGGTAGTAATTAAAAACTTTTTTTTAGGGGTAGTAATTCACAAAGCCTTTGTTTTTGAGGTAGTAATTAACAAAATTTCCTAATTTTATTTCTTTATTTTGATTATGCTTTCTTTATTAGATTTAGTTTTTATTATTTATTTCATGTTTGAGTAGTTTAATTTTTAGGGTTTGGAAATTCATGTTTATGCTATGAATCTTGATTGATATTTATTCATGGTTTGATTATTCTTTGAATTCTATAATAGTGTTTTATTGTTAATCTTGCAACCTGATAAATTGTTTGATTAAATATTGTTAATAAGAGTTTGAATCGAAAGATCTTTTTTTTTAGAGGCTTACCTACAATTAGCAATTCTGATTATGTTATCGACCGAACTACATATGTTGAATTGAGAGCTTTAAGATCTGACCATAGGCTTAGCAATTGCTCTAAATAATTGATTGATTGAATTGTTATTGATATTTGATAGATTTAGAACTGTAAACATGGTGAACCATAACCCTAGGTCTTTTTATTAATTGTTTTATTCCTATTTTAATTTAGACTACTAATCTATCCAAACTTGTGACATAGTTTAGTTTCTCCATACCTTGAAAGCTAGATTGAATAGCCATCATTCTGTGGATTCGACACTACTTATCCAACTACATTGTTAGTTGGTTTAGTTAGGAATTTACTTTTGACAGGTGTACGACAACCTATCAGTAGTGATGAAGTTTAGCCCTTTCGAGAGAAGGATTTTGGATGCTCATATTGGATACATCATCGTTGTTTTTCCGCTTGCTCATTTGTAACATCGTACTTTTTTCAAATTTATAATTTTTTTTTTCAATAGACAAGTGTATAAGTTGGTTGCTTTGTATTTTTGGATTAGTTGTAAAATTTAATTTAGGTTAAACTTAATAAACCCCCGGCGAAAGTTTAAAATGCATTTTTAAACCCGAACATTACATTTATTGCAAACTTGCAATAAATTAGGCAAAACATACTGAACCCATTTTTGACCCGGACCTGAATCCGGTGGACTCGTCAGATCTGGATCTGGGTCTCCATTTTCGAGATCCAAAAAATTCGGGTCGGATCTGGATCCAAGATAGAAAACAGATCTGGATCCAAGATAGAAAATAGATCTGGATCCAGGTCTATTCGGACCCGGTCCAAATCCAACCTGTTGCCATCCCTACTCTTTTTACTTGTCCCTCTCCTCCTTATTAAATTTTGGCAAGGTTATTTTTTTTTATCTCACTAATGAGATAAACAAATAATTCTTTCACGAATTTCACTCATACTTTTCCCCTATACCCTATCACATTTCTCCCTCTCTTATATTTCGGCTAGTCAACAAGTTATTAAAAAGGAAAAAGTGGCACAAAAGGTCAAAGAGTGGTGCCTACGTAATTGTTTTGGTGAATAAAAAAAATTCACACAATGAGAACTTTTTTTACAATATATAGCTCGTGCACCATAAAACCGGTTGTACACTTGTACAATTGTAAAATTTGCTCATTTGACTTAAATGAACAAAATGTAAAAGTGTTAATGAAATAAATAAATTAACTTTACTCGGTTCTATTTAAATGAGTAAAAATAATGTTTGTTTCGAAAGTGGAAAACTTTATATGGATTGAATTTTGGAATTATTATTGCTATTGTTGGGGAGATATAAAAGTTTACTTTGTGTATTCTTATCCGTAGGGAATAGAGATTAAACAAGAAGTTTTTGGACAGATTTGCTCATTTTCTGCAAATAAGCAAAAACACGTGTTTATCTTCAACAAAATAGGAAAAAATAATGCTCATTTTACATATTAACCATAATTATCAATGAAAAAGAAAAGAAAATTATCGAAAATTGTACTTCAAATTGTTCATTTAGCTTATAAATCTTACAAGTCACAATTTTTTCTGGAAACAGAATCCTCCTCGGTGTGTAAGGGTATTTTGGGTAGCAAGATGTCCAATGTCTTAATGTAATCGGGATCCGCCTTGCAAGGGTGTCTGAGAGCTTCATCTACAAGAAAGAGAAGGTAAGCTGCCCCGGGAGGTTGACCCAGGAACGCCCCTTCGACGCTCAAGTCAGTGAATGTACTTTCTAAAGAGAGAAAGTAGAGTGAGAATGAGAGATTTGAAAAAGTTCTCCATTATTAATCATTTGCTGCTATTTATAGATGTACTTTCTTGTAGTAAGTTTGTACTTTCTTGGACAAATTAGGGGTAAATTTTTGTTTTATATTATTTTTTTTTTAGGGAAAGATTAGGGGTAAATCTTACTTCATGGTGATTATTGGATGATTAAGAAATTAAGAATGATGATTGGATTATGGAGAGGTATTTTCATCATTTCAGCTATAATGGGTTTAGGACATGGACTAGGCCCAGACAACAATATTGAAGCTTATTAAAAAATAAAAAACTTTTAAGAGAATGAAGTGCATACAAATAAATCAAAACTCTAACCTAAATGGAACATTCTCATCATACAAGAAAATGGAAAATAAAGTGAAAAGGATAGTAAAAACGAGTCATATGGATTTAAAGAGTGAAATAGGAGAGTATTATGAATTAAAATAGAGGATATACAATTCCATTCTCAAACTTTTATAAAAAGTAAGGAAATAATTCGCGTAAATGAGCACAAATTCTTGAGTAAGACGGACTTTTATTAACTTATTGTAAGGCGGATTAAAGTTACCCTAAAAGTATTTAAAGTTATCCTAATATACTACAAAAATTACTATTTTCGTAACATAAATTTTACCCTTAAAAAACACTTAGGAATTTTATTAATAACTACCTAGTTTATAGTCGGTTTTGAAAATAACTACCTTGTTTCGAATTTTTTTTTTTTTTAATAAAACTATTAATTTAAGTTTCCTCCAAATTTTTTTATACCACTACCTATTTAAGTCCAAAAGCTTAACGGTGCACGTTATGAGGCCCTAATCACCATTTTCACCCCACAAAAGCTTCTCCATTCACCATTTCTCACTGCTTCACTCACATTTTTTCTTAATTCTTTGTTACATGTCATTCCCAACTTGATGTAAACTTTGATTATGCTCATTATCACCACATCATCACGACAATTGCTTTAAAGCTACGTGGACAAAGGAAAGGGCATAGATGGAAATTGTGGTTGATGGGAATTGAATTATGAACGTTGGATGAGTGAAGATGGTTATAATAGACAAATAGGTGGGGCCTTTTAACGTGCAACGTTAAGTTTTTAGACGGAAAATTGTATAATGTAGTGTTACGAAACTTTTGGAAGAAACTTCTAGTTTAATAACAAAAATTCGAATAAGGGTAGTTATTTTCAAAACAGACTATAAACTAGGTAATTAACAAAATTTCTAAATACTTATAATGTATTAAATTAATCAATTAGCCTTCATATAATGTACCCATTACTTTGCCCCATTTGACTTTTCACTTATAATATCATCAATCAGTTATTTTAATGTGTAATTTCTAACCTCCCTCCATCCCTAATATATTTTGCCCCATTTGACTTTTTCACGGTCTCCAAGACGCGTTTTAAAACGATTTTATCTCTATTTTCATACGTGAAAAAATTATAAAAACTAGATATTAATAAATTATACAATGCGATGAATCCAACAAGTTTCCACTTGGCTATATTATCTCTTATAGAATAAATATATTTTATGGTCAAAGATTTTAACATTTGACTAATATTTTTGTCATGGGGCAAAAAATTTGGGACAGATTGAGTAAAAATTACACATTAAAATATAGTCAAATTCATTACAAAATAAAAGTTATCCTTAAAGGGGTAAAAGTTACTATAAAAATTGTTAAAGTTATCCACAAATTGATGATCTTACAATAAAATTAACGTAAGCCCGCTTTATACAAGACTTATTAGTAGATGAGAATAAAATTGTAACCCTATCTAAACTCCATCGTATAGCCAAGGGACAAGCAAACCCCTTCGCCTGCAGTGTAGATTTTGCTATTCAAAAAGTTTCCCCCGCATCAATCTCCACTTCATCCACAGAAGTCACTGTCCACCACTCGGATTATTGATACTCCATCCGTTTCGTAATAATCGCAACACTTTCCTTTTACATCCGTTTTATAATAGTTTTCAACACTTCCTATTTTAGTAAGGACCCACTATTATTTTATTATTTCTCTCTCCCACTTACCACACTTGCATAAATATTAATTATTTCTCTTTCTTACAAACCCCACTTATACTACTTTTTATTATTATTATTATTATTAATTATTATTATTTCTCTTTCCTACTAACAATAAAATATATTTCCACTAACTATATTTTATATTATAAAATTCACCGTATGATCCCTACCCTATAAATTTTCTAAAACTTTGTGCAAGACCTACTGTTGCGATTAAAACGAAACGGAGAGAGTAGTAGTAAAATTGTATCTAGAGTTTTTGCAGAAGGTTCTAGTTTACTTTTTTTTTAGTAAGGAGAAGGACCCTACCAGGCCGTAACCTTTCACAGGTCCTCCTAGCTCAAGGGGCTTTTTTTTTTTTTTGGGGGGGGGGGGAGGGGGGAGTAAGGGAATCCCTCTCCAAAGTGCCTCTAGTGGGGTTTGCATCTCACAACTTTTACCACTAGACTAAGTTAGCTTGGTGAGAGTTCTAGTTTACCTGTATTAACAAAGATATGATATATATTTTTTTTTTTTGAATAAAGATTGATTCATAAATAAAAAGTCATACGACATCTACAAAGAGATTTAAATTTGATAAATATATAACAATTGAATAAAATAAAAGCATACTTTCAGCAGAGCTACGATCGTTGTTGTAAATTGTACATTCTTCATACCCTCTTTTATGTCGCAGTGATTTATAGTCTTCTTCGACGAGGGGGTCTATCGATCTGTTGTAGCCGTGAAGAATATTTTCGTCTGATTCATCTAATTGTAATCGAAGGACTAACCTCTTTCTCGATCCCGCACAAATCTTTACCCATGAAACAGCTTGTACCATACGAAACTCAAAAAACAAAAACAAAACTAGAACAAAGCACACCATAGGGGCACTTACTACACTCAAACCCACTATAGGGGTACTTACTACCTTTCAAAGAGCGTAGATTTATTGAATTTAATAACAAAACCTTAAAGAAACTAAAGGGAAAGGGTTGGAAATAGCCAAATTTCCGGAGAAATTTGACTATTTCTGACCTATGAAACACTTTTTTAAAGAACCCTAGAGAGAAAAAAATAGACAGGAGACGGCTAGGCTTAACAAAGATATGATAATAAAGCACATACTATTATTTTATCTGATATGTCTAAATTCAATTGTTTATTATTATTGTTTTTTTTAAAAAAATAAAGTCTCATGCTCTCGTCCAATGTAAATATCGTTGCTACTATATTTACTTTTTGAACATCACTATATATGAAAACCCAGAGTCCCATGCTAGTGGTAAAATAATTTCTTGGCATGTAATAAAAATCGAGCATTCAAACTAACCATGTGTCAAAGATGAAAACATTTCGGTTAGGCAAAACTATTTGTTCCATCAAAACCGAAGACCAACAATAGCATAAAATGCATTTCGATAAAAAAAAAAGAAAAAAATCCACCCAAAAATTATTTTCTAATATCCAAGTAAATTTAATCTAATCAACTCTAAAATCAAAACGCGTGTGTACGTTACTCAACTACTCATTAGTTGTAACTCACTAACTCCCAATTCTTAAACCCCAACCCCGCCCTACCAATGAAGTCAAAAATTCCTTTGTGAAAATATCTATGTTAGTATTCGAAATTCCTATTTGAATCAAACGAATTAATTCAAGAATCAACAATTCAACATAGCAAAACACAGTACGACTTACTCTTTCTACAATTCTACGTGTTAGAAAAGTCAATTTCGTATTTATTTATCCAAACTTCGCTTAGTTGCCGAAAGTCAAGAAATTCATACAACCACGTTTTCTCTCTCCTCTTCTTCAACATTTTTTCTCATACACTCTATAACTTAATTATTGAGTATTTGTTTTTTTTTAAATAATTAATTCTTTATCAAATTCTGGGTTTTTCAACTGTGATTTGCTGTACCATTTAAATACGTATTTTATCTTCAATAATCTCCCAATAATTTTCTGGTTTGTGCAAATTTTGTTTCTCTCTCCTACAGATCTAAGGTAAGGTTTTTGGTTTTCTTATGTAGATTTTGTCTTTAATCATCATTTATTTTTTGTGGGGTTTAATTATTTTTTTCATTATTTAACTTGGGTATTAGGATTCTTGTATAAATATTTATGCTTTAAATTGCTGCTGTTAAACTGGGAAATTCTTTATACTTGAATTTTCAAACTGGCCCATTTAATTCTTATTGAATTTAGATGAACAGAAGAGAACTATTGTCAAATTTGAGCTTTTTTGTACTGTATTTGCCTTTCAATTTTCTATAGCTGATTTTAGTTTCTGTATATTCTGCTAAATTTCATTTCAAGTGAGCTGATAGTTTTCTAATGAATTATCATTCATGTCATATGCTTAATTTAGAAAATGCTGGATTGATTTTATTATTTTCTGAAATTAATTTTGAAGAAAAACCATCTCTTTTTAAGCAATTTTTACCGATTGTCAATATCTTATACTTGACTACTTGAACTTAATCAAAATTCTTTTGCACGGTACATTGGAATATGTTATTTTAGAATTTGGAAATATTCTTCTGGATATTCAATTTCCATTAAGTTGCTAGTTTTTGACATTATCTTCCTTTATGATTCTGTAAATCCATTTACCCTTTCGGGTTGTTGAATGTAATTTCGGGTGGTTAGCTGAAGCTGAGTGTTTGGATATTTGGTGAACATGCGAAACATGCTAATTTATTTGATAGTTTTCTTGAAGGGAAGGATTTGCAAAGTTGATTTGATAGGAGTTTAACATAGCAAGTCTAGTAATGACTTGCTTCCTCTTCATTTGTGGAAATGGAGCCCGGTCCGTTGATGAACCAACTGTAGACATTGTTGGAGGTAGAAGCATTTCCTTAAAAGACTAGGACAGTTATATGTCTCAATCTCATTTGTTTTTATACATGAATTGCCACAACTTACATTGCATATAGTTGCTTCCTTGACCACTTATTGTTTGCATTGGTTAATGAGTGGAGTTGTACATGATATTTTGCCCTGTTGTACTTAATGTGGAAGGGTTAGCGCTATTGATGGTGAACTCTTTATGTTTGATAAAAAAGGAGTGTTCATAGGTTGAGGCCGTTGAGCCTCTTTTACAATATACTTGCTATAGGCTTTGGGATAATCTTGTATATTACTCCCTTCATTTCATAATGTTAGTCCCACTTTCTATTTCGGGCGTTTCAAAAAGACAATCTCACTTTCTATTTTAGTCCCTCATACATCCTCTTTATTTTCTCATGTTACTCTCATTTTAATGGTCCCTATGCAAACTAAGAAAAGATGGTCGTAAATGTACTTCAGTGGTCCCTATGTATTTTTATTTCAACAAAAGGATGGTCTAATGTATTTTAATGGTCCCAATGTACTTTATTCCAAGAATCTCCCCTTTCCTTAATTTACGTAAAGATTTTAAACGAGACTAACATTATCAAACGGAGTATGTGTTTGCATATATCTTTAATTAAATGATCCTATGGTTGGATAATTAGTAGAAGCCCTTGAAGGAAAAGGTAAAGTCATTAATACTTTCTTCTTAGCTATGCTTGTGAAATACATAAACATTCATGTATGTAAGTATACATGCTAGTTATGTGTAGACACATGCACACATCAATGGGCAAATAGGAGCAATCCACTTTGGTTATAAGCTAAAAGCACTTGATTTTGATGTTAAACAACATACTTGTCTTCAACAATCTTCCCTAAAAGTGCGAGTCCCTGAAGGTCTTGAACAATGCACTCAGCAGTATTATTTCTAGTTAGAAGGCTAAAACTGAAAATATCATACAAAGGGGCCCTGGTGGCGTTAGCCCCATCCCAAATACCTGTCACATGGTGTGAAATGCCCAAGTGCCTAACTGAGCCATGATACTACAACTAGTAAGATATGGAGGAGAAATAAAAAGGAATGGAGATCTCAAGAGAAAATTCTCAAAGTGAGGTTCCTTCCTAAAACATCTTCATCTTGGGAAATAAACTGAAGGGTCTTGACTAAAGTACATCTTTCAGTGTGTGACAACATCTTCACACTTGTACTTATCAAGTAATTGTGTGATGGTGGAAATGGGAGTTCCACCCACACACACATAAAGCTGACGATCTTCTAAGGCATTAAATTGCAATAGTTACAACACGAAAAGAGCACTATGGAGAATTGGAGACCCTCTAACTTGTATGCTTTATGAACAATTTAATATGGGCAACTTCTTTGAACCAGCCAAACATCTTGAAAGTAACCATAACGACACTCCCCTTTTGCCATCTTGTTTTTTGCTAAAGCTTCATTTACCCCCAACCCTGAGTCCTTTTGAATTTTCGTTAGAGTTCTGAAATCCATTAAAATAACGTTAAGCATCCAACTTCTCTCTTTACCTTGAGAAGACTCCTCCGAAACAATCTTTTTTCCATCTACGAAATATAGATTTATCTTTAACTTCATCTGTCATATTGTCATTGCCGTTAAACTTGCTGATCCTTTTTTGCACTAAGCCACTAACTATGCAGACAGGGTGCTTGCTTCAAAAATCAAAATTACACTTTTGCTATTATTTACCACTTTACCAGATTATCAGTAACTCAGTAACCACAAATCATGATCCTTTTTTTATTTATTTTATTTTATTTTTTATTTTTATTATTATTATTATTAATTTTTTTTATTGATACAGTTCGTTTTCTTAGTTTCCTGAGTCTTTTATCAGCAACCATCTGTACATCAGAAACAAGAAGCCTTCTACACCTTTGTCATCCCTGTATGCCATCCCTTCTGTTAGGATTTTTTTTTTTTTTTTTTTTTTTTTTTTTTTTTTTTTTTTTTTTTTTTTTTTTTTTTGCATCCCTATTCGGTTCTAGGAAAGAGCCATCCATCATTACACCATTATTATGGATAGGAGCTTCTGAAGTGACTAAAACACCCATTCTATTTTCACTAGTGTTCTAACTTCCTACAATTTATAAAAAAAACTGAGTAGAACCAAAGATTGGATTTCATCCATTAAGGAGAGTTGAAGACATAATGAAGTGCACAGGATTGAAGTTCTTAATTCGTGGTGTAAGCACACAAATTCATCTTTAAAGAGTCTAAACATTATTTAACTGAAAGCAAATTTTTCTAACCAATTTTTAAGCCATTATAGTATCCAATTATTGTCCCTATAGTATTGATCAACCAAGCTAGATAGTCTCAGTCTCTCAGACAACAGAGAAGGTGATAACTGATAAGATGGGATCACCTTTATTTGCATTATTGTTGTAGGCTTGTAGCACATCTATAAGCATGAACCTTCTGAAGTACAAGAGAAAATAGTTTCTTGGATCCCAAGGGAGATTTAATTTAATGTTTTGGATTTAAATTTGCGAGATCTATTAATTAAAACTCCCTAGCTACCTATTTGACTCCAATCATTCAAATCCTATAGTTTCATATTTGAGATTAAAAAAGAAATCATAAGCCCTAATTTAGTGGCTTTTGCATTTAGAATCACTCAATTCCCACTTCAAGGGGAATATGATAGATGAAGGGAGTTGAAATTTTCAACTGAGGATGCTGTGCTGGGTAATTAAGGTTATAAGTGGATTTTGAAGCATCCACTGGATGAGGACAGGTGAAACACTAATGACTTCACGAAACCTGAGGGAGAAGTGGAGAAAATTGAATGAGAAGTGGAGAACCTGAGGGAAAAGTGGAGAAAATTGAATGAGAATCTAAATAGAATTAGAAATCCAGGTGACTACTATGAAATGTCTTTTTTCTTTTTAATTTTTAATTCGTCTGTCTTCTAGTTGTTACTACCTCTTTTTCTTCAAGTTAAATACATTTTGCCTATTCATACTTGCCAGTATAAAACTTTTACTCAAAATGTCTCTAATCATGTATCAATAAAAATTATAAAAAGTTGATTTCCCAAAGATCAATCTAACAAGACCCCACACGAATATATTTTTTTCCTTGAGTATAGATTACAAACAATAGTAAAAGTGAAATATGTGAGTGATGCAAAAGTCAAAGTGTGAACACCATAAAGAAACAAAGGTAGACGTAGTATATAACTTGGAAAAAATATTTTTGGTTTAAGCTTATGTTATATGAGCCTACAAATGCCGTCTTGATAAGATTTGGTGTTTTATACTTGTTAACCTATCATTTTGGGTTTGGTGCATTGTAAATGATCTTGAACTTCATGGTGAAGTGGCTCTTTTGTATCTGGACATTGCCATTCTGTAATATTTTGTTTGTAGCATTTACATTAACAGATGCACATAATTAATACTACGTTTGTCCAACTTTAATTGTTGAAGGAATGTTTGTACTAGGTGTCTAGGTGATAAGTTGTTGGCTTATTTCTATATTTTTAATTTAATATTTAATAGAAAAGTAGATGTGATGGGAGATAGTAAAGGAAATTTTTAATTGAATGAGAGAGAGTGTGGGACCTAACTTTTAGTAGTGAGAAGGGAATAATAAAATATTAGTTCGCCCATGCCATAAAAGCAAGTGTTACAATTAGATTAGGATCAGCGTAAATGAAAAATGTGACGAATTAATAGTGACAAAAGGAGTAAACGGTTTAAGCTTCAAGCCTTGATCATTCATTTATTCTCTAAGGATTCTATAAATTTGAACGTTATTTGAAATTAAATGATCTGATGCCTGCATATGTGAGACTGCTCATGAATTAAGTTTTGTGTATGTAATTCTTCTGAGGCCCTGCTTCCTGTAGTTTCAGGTGTAGAAAATATAAAGTTCTATACTTACAAGGAATTACAACATGCAACGGGAAACTTCAGCCAAGTAAATAAGATTGGGGAGGGTGGTTTTGGGCTTGTCTACAAGGTAATTCCTGGGGATGCACAAGTTCTAGGCATCCAATCTCTTCTTTAATAACAAATTGCAGTTGTGGTGGTCATTAGGATAATGAACCTGGATTTGTATCAGTAGCTGTTATCATCATGACTTGAATTGGACAAACATGAAAAATTAAATTTCAATGTTGTATCTCAGCTGGTACTTATTTTGTTTGTAACTTAATTTTTTGTTTTAATAAAGAAATCCTTATGTCATAAAAATGAATATCCTAAATGTGAATTACAATAATATTAATATGTAGAACATATATTGACTGGATACTGTAATATAACAATGTAGTTTGAGAAAGCATGTTGCGTGATGGTCTTTTATGTGGAGACAGTTGTAAAATCTTAACATTGCAGCCAATTCGTTATGCCTTATTATACTAACAGTCCTTGCAAATTTGATTGTGACCAGGGAAGGCTCAAAGATGGAACTTTGATTGCCGTTAAGGTGCTTTCACCAGAATCAAGGCAAGGCTTGCGTGAATTCGTGACAGAATTGACTGTCCTTGCAACTATAGAGCATGAAAATTTGGTTGGGATTTTAGGTTGTTGTACAGAAGGAAATAATAGAATTTTGGTCTCTAGATATCTTGAGAATAACAGCCTTTCTCAGAGTTTACTCGGTAATTTTCTGTTCAATTACTGATCTAATGGCTACATTAATTCCTGCTTTGTTTCTTTTTCTTTCCTTTTTTTTTTATTTGAATAAATAAATATGAAGGTTTGTTTACTTTCAGGTCAGAACCCTGGCGGAATTGATTTCAATTGGAGAATAAGGAGAAATATATGTATTGGGATTGCAAGGGGGCTTGCATTTCTTCATGAAGAAGTCCATCCTCGTATCGTGCATAGGGATATCAAAGCAAGCAATATTCTCCTTGAGAAAGATTTGTCAGCCAAAATTACAGATTTTGGTTTGGCAAAACTTATACCTGCTAACATGACGCATGTTAGCACAAGGGTTGCAGGGACACTGTGAGTTGCAGTGTAACTGATTACTGTTTTTGGTTTGTCCAATTGCTTATTTCACAAAATGTGTAAATGCACTGAACTTGAGAAATGTGGAATTCAAATTACAATTTTATTTCTAGGCTTGATAAAATGTTAGAAAGCTGGTCAAATGTGGAGGGCCATCTATGTTGCAGTGTTTCTTGAATTGTGTGCCTTTTTAGTCGTTGTATTTTTTCTCAAATCACCTCCTCTAAGACGTCTATTCTCCACCTGATACAAAAACTTTTAGTTAGTCCTGTTATCTGTTGCTTATATTAATGAAAGGTGCTTCTTAGAGAACCTATGTACATCTCATCAAGCCTATCTCGGCAAAGCCTTTAGTCTTCTAAAGTATCCAACTACTCTCACCGTTTTCTTTTGATATACTCATCTTCTGTAGACCTTGTTTCTAGGTGTGTTGAGTGGGTGTAAGAATAAGGTGGATAAATTAGGAGAGAAAGGCTAAGGTGGGTGGATGTGAGAAAATAGAGAAAAAAATAAGAGAGTGAGAAGGTGTAATTATTGTTGAGGAAGGAGGTAAGATGATAGAATATGCTTACCAAAAATAGAATAAATTAGAAATGGGTACATCAAATAAAAATACCTCAAAACAGAATATGGATACATCTTTCGGAAAGAGGGGAGTATTGAAATTAATATGTCCAATTATTAACTGATAATGAGATATCTTTGTGGTTTCATTTTCAAATTTTTAATATTATTTTATAGTTCTCTGTATTATGCATGCTAATATGATTTTATGATATTTCCTGGCTGCACTAGGATGCTATATAGCTGGATTAACCATAATGTAGATGATATTTATGTCTCTTAACTTATGTTTATTATTTAATATAATCAGTTTGCAGTTCTTCACTGTGTGACCTGGATCACCTGACACGGTGACTGTTTTATGCAGAGGCTATTTGGCGCCTGAATATGCTCTTAGAGGCCAGTTGACAAGAAAAGCTGACATTTATAGTTTTGGCGTTCTCCTTTTGGAAATTGTCTGTGGTAGATGCAATAGAAATAGACGGCTTCCTCCTGGAGACCAACATCTTCTTCAAAGGGTAATACATATTGGCATTTGAAATTTGTTGTGTATGCATGCATATCTATCTAGACTTTATCTTCTTCAAAGGGTAATATATGTTTGTTGGACTATTGAAATATATGTTTGTTCATTTACTGCAGTGTTGCCTTCCATCAGCTGTGATAATTGCTCTTTTATAGTGAGTTTGATTGGTAATTATGGAGATGAAGGGAGGAGAGGGCTTGCATTTTTCTCCCACATCTTTCCAACATTGAAATTATATTTGTTTTAAGTAAGGGAAAGAAAATTTATCTCTCCAACTTCCTTTCCTTTCCTTCCCTTTGCCTTTACAACGTTTGAATAATAACAAATGGACCGCTTTCTCTTTCCATCTCATGACCTCAATCTAAACACATTACTCCTTTCGTCCCGGAATAGTTGCACGAGTTTGACTGACGCAGGTTTTTATTCAAAACAATTGACTTTCTTATTTTATTGTGTGTTAATTGGCAGCGGGGTAGTTTTATTAGAGTTAGTGGGAAATGGATCATTGCATTTTGAGGGGTGTGCATTTGATTTTTTATTTATTTATTTTTTTATGTTTTTTTAGAATGTAGTTGATAAAGTGGCCCCAAGTGTGAGTATAATATTTCTATAATTCATAACTACATCAAAATGAATCCATCAAGGTTCCTTGTAATCATACTTTCACCGTTCTTTTTTAATCGCAACATTGGTGAATTTTTTGTCCACACACACACTCCTCTTTTGTATTTTATACATTAGAAAAATCATAATTATGTGGGGTCTTGGTAGACTCGTCTCGATGTGTACTTTCAAATGATTAACATTTGATTTTGCTAAAATATAATTAAAGATATTAATGATATAAAATGTGCATTGACAAGCGTGAAACTCAAGCGTTGCGATTATTCAAGAACGGAGGAGGTATATATTATAAAATTTGACCTTGAAAAAATAAGTGGAATAACCAAAAAAACTCAGGGAGTAATTGATGTTGTGAAAGGACCTACAAAGGCTACATTGCTATATCTGTATATAAGTGACATTTGGTATTATACTGACATTGTAGATTGACTTATATTATAAATTAAAAGGAAAAGGAATTGGTTAGAACTGACCTTGTTTTGGAACGGATGACGGAGAGTATACGATCTTATTTTAACTGTCTACACCTTTAGTATCTATGGTTAAGTTTTAAAAGATTATGCTCTACATATGAAGTATCTCACCAGATTAAACCTGATGCAGGCATGGAGAATGTTTGAAAAAGAGACACTTGTGGAGTTGATAGACGAAGCATTTAGGGGAGATCTTGATATTGAAGAGGCCAGCAGATTCTTGAAGATTGCTCTGCTCTGCACCCAGGGAGTACCAAAACTGCGACCAATGATGTCTACTGTGGTTAGGATGCTTCAGGGAAAAGTAGAAATTGATGAAATGAGCATAACAAAACCAGGGCTACTTTCAGAATTTGATTTAAAAGCAAAAGAAAGCCCAGCAGAGCCTTCTTCATTGTTCTCCCCGAGCTCAGGTTCCTCATCCTTACCGTCAGAGCAGACAAATCCCACTTGTGCTACTATAACATTCACATCAATAAGCACCCGGAGCAATTGATAAATCAATAACAGGTAGATTTTGTTGTTCTCTATCTGTACCCTGCTCCCCCCTCCCAATAATCTTTTTTTCTTTCTTTTTGTAGATTTAGCATATATGCAGTTAAAACTCTTTTAGAGAGCCTGAATGTAAAAAGTAATACTGGGTGAAAACATACCCACTTCTTACTTATTAATTGAAAATATATAATGAGTTTATGAGGATTTATTTTATTGTATGTCATTAAGATTTTGTTTTCCTTATTGTTTCTATAGAACACCTTATATAAAGGCCCACTTCATTGCAGTTGCTTTAGTTCAGCAGCATAATTCTTGTTCAAGAGTTACCTTTTCTTTTTCTTCTGTACCCTCTATATATTCCTACTTGCTGCTCTTTTAGCTTTAGATCCCCGCTTTCGTGCTCCCCCAAAGATGATGTAATGTCATGACATCTGCACATTTGTTATGCTGTGTATAATTTCTGATCAGTTGGAGGTCATCTGTTTTGATCCGTGAGAACTAAAATAGTTCACCTGTCACTGAATTAGTGTTATGTTATTTCTTAGTTTCTTACTGAGAAAAGTGGTGCAACTAATTTAGAAGGCATAATACAATGTCTGACCAAATGGAATTAACTTGCCAATTGAACTATCTGTTTGCCCAACATTTTGATAAGGAAAATCTGATAAAACCTCGCGTAAGGAGCTAGGTGATTAAGATAAGTTTGGGACAATGGGACTTAACACATGTAATGAGCACAATTTACTACCTTATTAATCCATGGAACACAATTTACTACCTTACTATGACAAATTAGTCCAAAGTGTCTGTTCAGCTGTACCAATGGGGGGGGGGGGGGTTTACCGTAGTATTTAGGTCACGGTCAATAACCTAACTTAAAATGTTCATTTTGTTATAATCACAGTACTTAATTCTGTAAAAAGGTTTGCTAATGTAGACATGGCATATCTTGAACAAAATGACTGGAAAATGCTAAGCTGGTAAAGTTGGCTGTTTAGATATGGAGTGACACTAGGTGGTATTTTATGATGTCTAAATAATTTAAGAGGTGTAATTTCAATATTAATTTTATGATTAGAAGTGATTATAGTCTAAGAGAAAGGGACAAGATGATGACTTCTGTTTTGGCAAATTAAGTTTTTCTTACATTTCCATTTTGAGTTGAAGGCAGTCTAAGTAGAGTCTTTCCTCTTGTCGCCATCACATCAATCTTTTTTATTCTCTCCATTGCAATAACTCTTATATCTCTTTCCATTTAACTCCCAAATTATTATTTATACTTCATATCATTATTACTGTTAATCTTTGTGCCAACTTACGAGTGAAGAAAATTGACAAACCTGAGGAGAAAGATCTGTTTCAGTATTGTGACTATATCTAACTACATAACGATAGTTTTTCTGATCAGTTATTGGATTTCAAGTACTTAGCGGTTAACTTGGCAGTTTGTATATCTAAAGCGATCTTTCAAGATATATCTTCCTCTAGAATTTGTATGATAATCTGTTACTATCTCTTTTTTCGGGAGTCTTCATGTTTTGTATGTTTCAAACTGGTTGTCTCAGCTATCAAAGTTTTTATATGTGTTTGATGAATTAGTCCGCTAAAAGCTTTGTGCTTCTTAGCCCCAGTTTTAAGCATCATTCTTATGCTGAAATCTGTAGTGTATAGGTCTGAAGGAAGCTGCGTGGTACGTGTTCCACCCATCCTCTTCCTATTTCCATGATGATTGTGATAGGGTGTTTTTCTAAGTTTATGATTTAAGGATCTTAGGAACTCAGAGCACAGTGTATATTAAGAAAAATACTTCAGAAAGTAATTAGATTTAAGAAATATAGAAGGCAAACTATTTCTTGTTAATTCAAGCTACAGATGGAATTGATTGTTAGGTAATTTTATTGCTCATCCTTTCGAAAAGAACATGATTTTGTAAGGAATGTGAGAAAAGAAAAAGATTGAGATAAACAATAATAAGAAATAGCAGCAGTTAACCTATGAAAAATAAATTTTTGCTTACTTTTATATTCATGTACTAGTTTCTAATCTCTACCCCTGTTGCATCTGTACCATAGAATCAGAAAAGATAGTATTCTGTAGCCAAATATGAAACCCAACATTACAGCCAGATAAGTCCACCTCTGTGATTCTTGCAGACCTTGCTGTCTTAAGAACCCGTCTCCGTACAAGCTACATCCGCTCAAATCTTTCTGTAGGCATCTTGTCTTCCCTCGCTCACCTCCATATTCGTTGATCAGGAAACACTCAAATGGATACTTGAACAGGCTCAGATAATGCATGAATGTCCAATACTTGGGTATCCTATCTTTGTCAATAAAGTATCCAGAGAAGAGAAAAAACGACCCCATCAGTCCTGCTATAACTGATGTTCCCATGATGAAGTTTGGGACAAGCGCACTGAAACAAGCAACGAACGAGTTTGACATCAGCACCACCATCCATACCACAAGAGAGAAGTACAAAAAAGCGCCAAAATCTCCTCGTAGACCAGCTAGCCAATACACTGGTGTAGCATAGAGTAGACTAACTGTGAGCAGAAAGGGAAGAAAAACAAGGGTATTTGCTAAAACATAGGAAAAAACTCTGTAGGCCCCTCTGGATGTTTCTCTCATTAGAATTCTCCTCTCTTGCAAGAATATTGGCAAGCCTTCAGTTGTAGAAGAAAGCAAGAAAGTAAGGGTAAATGCGAAAAGCCCTAGTCGGGTTTGTAACTCTAGGTCCCCTTCGCTATCTTCCTTCTTCAAGTATAGTGTTCCAAGTACAATACTAGCTGCAATGGCTTGTATTATTCTTCCTGCAAAAAGTTGCTTTGTTCTGAATATGTTCTTGCAAAACCTTTCCCCAAGAATTTGAACTTCTCGACTTTGTGAATTTGGGTAAGATGTATTCTTCCCTGTGCAGGACATAGGATTCAGACTTCTTGCCTCTGGCCTCTCATCAACTTCTCTGGCTCTTCTCATTTCAGTTGAGGATTGTATCCCCACAGCCAAGGTGCTCAAAACATCAATGGAGAACTCAAGTGCATTGACATGTGGAGGGATGTGATGACCCACTGCTCGAAGCTTCCTGTCAAGAAGGCTTAGTGGACCGTTGTGCACAAGGATTCCATCTGACAGCAGAACAACTCGATCAAGCAACTCTAGGATTCGAGAACCAGGCTGGTGAATGGTTATTACTATTGTCTTCCCTTGTCTGATTGCCAAAGTTTTAAGCATCGACATGATATTTAGGGCTGAGACTGAATCCAAACCTGAAGTTGGCTCATCTATAAGCAAAACAGAAGGGTCATGAACTAGCTCAACTCCTATAGATACCCTGCGTTTCTCCCCTCCAGAAATCCCATGATCTGGACCACCACAAATCCTTGATTGCGCTACTTGATCCAGCCCTAGCTCGCTCATCAACTTTTTTACCCTCTGAGAAGCTCCTTTTCTTTCTCCTGGTAACCTTAGAAGGGCACTATATATGAGTGTTTCCTCAACAGTAAGAAGCGGAAATAATGCATCTTCTTGTGTAACATGCCCTGATAACCTGCGAAAGGATTTAGGCTCTAAAGGGCAGCTGTTGATAAGTACTTTTCCTGCATGTACCTTGCTTGGTGGGATTTTTGCTGCAAGGATTTCTAGCAGTGTAGTTTTCCCTGCACCACTTGGCCCCGCTATTGCTGCGACCTCCCCTGGATTCGCTTCAAAATTTACATCCTGCAAAATGAGTCTCGACGATGTTTCCTTATCTTTATTATTAGAAAACCAGCCGAAGTTATAATTTGAGGAGCTGTGGAGTTTGTATGAAAGGCTTTCAGTCTCAATTCTGTACGATGTTGTCCTCCGGCCTCCTGAATCCGGGGCCTTAACTGGGAGCTCCATGGATGGGAGAAGAAAGAGAGAAAATTGTTTAAGGAAGAAGGTAGTAGAGTAATCAAGCAGAAGAATGCAGTCTAAGAGAGTTGAATAGATAGAATAATAAAAAGAAGATGAGCAAACTCACCAACTTTGGCTGTTTGTCTACTTTTTCTAGGTTTCTGAAGTTAGTAAGCCAGTTTTACTTGTTTAAGCATCGATTTTTCGACGCAAGTTTTCTTGTGAAACTCATGAAGTTTTTTTCAGGTGAGCTATATCTTGACTATGCAGGGTTAAAGTTTGTTGTAGCTTACAAATCTAATTTCTTCAAGTCTTCTGAAAATGTTGAATTGGAGTTTTTAATGCAGTTGTATCTTACTTCATACAGATTTATGGAATAGTTGTGGAATTTTATTAATGAAAATCCTGACTTTGGTAAATGTAACACAATTTTTTTCTAACCAAACTGTTGCATAATACTAAGTCAATATCGTATCCATCTACAATAAAGTGGGAGCCTTTATGAAGTATCAAACAATAAGTCAATAATGTAGAGTTTGGTTTCAGGGAATGGAAAAGCTTATCAAATTCAAAGATATTTTGGTGTCTCATATAACAATACAATCATAGTATAATCGGAGTATATTAATTTAGTTGGTCCAATTGTTTGGTATGTATCTTCCTCAAAAGGGAAAAAATGTCCTATTTAGACGCATACTCGAAAATAAAAAGATAAATACGAATTTTAAAAGGTTAGGTTACAATTTATCCTAATAAAAACTATTTTGTTTGGTTCGGTGTAAATGACTATATATTGTTTGAAGGTGTGGATTAATAAGAAAATTTGGCTTGTGGATCATATGAACGCTCTGGCAATGACACAAGCAAACAGAAAAATTAAAGGGATTGATCACTTAAAGTTTCAAGTAAGTTCGAACATTTGCACTCCAAGACATGCATATTGTATTGTATATACTCCTCGTTTGTATCTAAAATTGATACTCAGGTGTGGTTCATCAACAAATTAGTGGTTATAAAGCGTCTAATCTGTCTATAGTAAACTCTGTCCTATGACATTATATTATTATTAAGTAGTTCTAGATTAGCAGACTTACTAATAACTTTAAGTGAGCATAAGAATCACAAGATAAAGATTGATAATTATTTAATTATTTTATGTTGTTTCATACAAGACTTTACCTCACATAAGTACATTATTGTCCTAATAAATGTAATTGATCTTCACAATTTTATCCTTTTTAAGCAATCCGTTTAATGGGCTCTAGTCTCATTTCATCAAATGGAAGCTACGTACGAAAGTTGTGTATTGCTTTAGTTCATACATTAACTTAATTATTAATGGGCTTCTATTAAAGGCAAATTTTGTTACATGAGATAAATTAGGTAAACCAAATATCGTTTGCATCATAAATACTAACATTATTATTTCATTATAATTTCTTCTCCCTTTTTAACGGAAATTAGTTACCCATTAGACGCAATAATTTCATGCATACAAAATATAAAAGCTAAAGCCAACTAATTATATCGAGACAATTGCATTGTGTAAATGATCAACTAACTAGTCTAATTGGTTAAAGTTCTTAAAGCTATGAAGTAATACATAAAATATGAGATCAAATTCAGTCTATATCATTTGTCCTTGTGATTTTGTCTATAATAATAATAATAAAATATGAGATTAAATTCAGTCTATATCATTTGTCCTTGTCATTCTCTTACTTCTAATTTGGCTGTTTATACTGAGGCGAAAGTTACTTTTACACGTATGGGGATTTGGTTATGTGGGGTTTGTTACAAAATTCATACGCTTCGTTCTAAGTGTCGTCATGATAGGGGTGAGGATGCGTCACCCCCGATGAAGGAGATGGTATTGTTCGTTCTATGCTTCATAATTTCTACAAGCCGCAAGCTCCCTCTTCTCTGGCTCGTAATGAACATGTGGATGGTTTGGTGCGAGATCAGTACTGTGGTTTTGATGTGGCTCTCCTTGATTGTTTGTTTTCAAAGGGGTTTCGCACTGTGGAGTCTATCCCTCCCAAGTGTTGTTTGGGATTTTCTCGAGTTCTGAAAGGTGCTCTTGATAAGGTGATCTCTAAGCCTGATGACATTTCTAGTTGGGTCTCGTTGTTGGTGTTACCTCTTTGCACCCTTAAAACCTTTCGCCCGCGGAGTAGTCGTGGGTCTAGGTCTTTCGTAAAGCGTCGGCATCAAAAGGAGTGTATTTCCCATGCTATTTGTTCTTGAAGTGCACCAGGTAGTAGTTTGCAGCTTGCGAGGGAAACTTTGGCAGAGGATTCTCCTACTTTGTCGGTGGTCGATGATGAGGACCTTGATTTGGAAGAGTGTAATATCAAGCAGTGTCGTAGGAAGATTTGTGATGGCCATTACACCGCGCGCTGCAATCCGAATTCTTTCTTCTTCAGGTGTTGCTCCATATAATGAGGCCACTCTTGCGGATTTGCAGTTAAAACACCCTTCTTCTCCAGCTCCATCCTTGCCTGCTGATATACCTGTTGATCAACTTCATCTCGTTGCTACTTCTGCTATTGTTTTGGATCGAATTAAGAGTTTTCCACATGGCACATCATGTGGTAGGGACAGTTTACGTGCTCAACACCTTATGGATTGCTTGAGTGGTGCTGTTGTGGCTGTCTCAGATGAGTTGGTTGACTCTATTTTCAGGGTGGTTTATCTCTTTCTAGCTGGAAGATGTCTTATGGAACTAGGAGAGTATATTGCTAATGCTCCTCCCACACCACTTGTCAAGCCTAGTGGTGGTATCCGTCCTATAGCTGTGGGTACTGTTTGGCGGTGTCTGGTTTTGAAGGTCGGTGCTGTTATGGTTGGCTAGTCTTTGGGAAGTTACTTTGATGGTCTTCAATTGGCGTTGGGGTTTCTTCAGGTGGTGAGGCAATTCTTCATGTCGTGAATCGGTTGATTGAGGATCGTGGTTCTGATGTTGGTCTTTCAATGTTGTTGGTGGATTTTCGAAATGCCTTCAATCTAGTTGATCATGCGGTCATGTTACGTGAAGTCCGTCGTCGTTGTCCGGGTATTTCGCGGTGGGTTGAATTTTGCTACTGTAATCCAGCTAAATTGTATTATGGGGACCACACCTTATGGTCGTCTCAGGGGGTGCACCAGGGTGATCCCCTTCGTCCTCTGCTTTTTGCTTTGGTTTTACAACCCCTTGTGTATAAAATCAGAGATGAGGTATGTCTTCAGGCGTGGTATTTGGATGATGACACTATTATTGGTGACACTTTGGTGGTAGGGAAGGTCCTGCAGTTGATTATGGAGGAAGAGCCTCGTTTTGGGTTGCATCTCAACGTGGAAAAAACTGAAGTTTTCTAGCCTATAGAAGACCCTCGAAGCAGGCTTGTGGGTGTCTTTCCCCCTTATATTGCTCGACCTTTGCATGGGGGTTAAGTTTCTTGTGGTCCGGCTAGTTCCAATTCCAATTTTAGTGGCGAGCTTGTAATGCAGAGGATGACCAAGACCATTGCGCTTATGAATAAGGTTGCTAAGCTCGATGATCCTCAGTGTGAGTTGTTGTTACTTAGGGCATGTACCGGAGTTTCTAAACTCTACTTTGCCTTGCGTACTTGTCCTCCTAGTACTTTTGAGGCGGCTCAGGGCATATTTGACGAGGCTCTTTGATCTTCCTTGGAGCATTTTGTTACTACTTCAGGGCCCGGGTTTGGTGATTGGAAGTGGCGGCTTGCCACCTTACCATTTGCATTTGGAGGGCTTGGTGTTTATTCCGCAGGTGATGTTCGTCATTATACTTTTCTTGCTTCTCGGTTATAGTTTGCTGGGTTGCAGATGAAGCTTCTATGGCATGCTTGCATTGTTGGTCTCGGTCGAGCCTTTGAGGATGCGTTGAGTCTGTTTACTGGAACAGTGGAGTCTGACATTTTGGGTATTCCTAGTGAGGTCGATGCCCCTAAACTCATGAAGAAATTGGCAGATATAAATTTCACAAAGGTTACCGCTTCTGAAGAATCCGCCTTTTCTTTGTCTCCTTGACAATCGGCATTGTGGAAATCGCAGTAGGGAGATCACACCTCTTCTTGGCTTCGAGCAGGCCCTATTTCTAGGTTGGGTCACACGATGAACGCAAAGACCTACCGATGTGTGTTGTGCTACTGGATGGGTGTTCCATTATTCTCTGTCTCGACGTCGTGCTCTAATTGTTCTTGGGTTTTTACTAGGGATATTCTTAGTGATCACGCGGTGTCATGTGCTGGTATTGTGGGTATTAAACATCAGCATACTGTTGTTCAGGATACCCTTGTTGATATTTGCTACCGATCTGGGATTTTAGCAAGAAAGGAGGTCGGCATAGGGTTGTCTAGAGGGAATGACGGGGCCCTCAAACCTGCAGATGTGCTACTTTATTCCTGGGATCGTGGTCACGATGTATGTGTTGACTTAACAGGGTCTTCTCCTTTGACACAGACAGGGCTATCTGGCTTTGTTCCCGGGCGGGTTTTGGCTGATGCGGCTCATCGGAAGCGGGTTAAGTATGAAGCTAGTTGTCGGGCGATTGGATATGGTTTCATTCCCTTCTCCTTTTCTTCGCTTGGGGAATTAGAGAAGGAGGTTCTTGCGTTGCTGAAGCGGGTTCAGAAGTTCTCCACGAACGCAAGACATTGGGGCTCGTGCTATAGCTCATATCTTCATTAGGATAGGCTTTGCTATAGCTAGAGGTGTGGGGGCCCACATTGTATCTCGGCTTCCCACTAATCTATTGTAGGTTGTATGAAATAATAATAATAATAATAATAATAATAATAATAATAATAATAATAATAATAATAATGATGATAATAATGATAATAATAATCTAGGGTGGGGGCCCAGATTATATCTCGGCTCCCCACTAATTTCTTGTAAATCAATTGACTTTGTAGGTTTTTGTTATTTTTCTATAATAATAATAATAATAATAATAATAATAATAATAATAAATAAATAAATAAATAAATAAATAAATAAATAAACAAGTAAATAAATAAAATTGTATTGGGAAAAATAAAACATGAGATCAAATTCAATCTATATCATTCAGTCTGTTTTGTTGTTCTCCTTTCTAGGTGATGGGAGTCCCTCGTTCCTGGACCTTGCCATTTCTTTAAATTTGAATTTGGTTGCATGTGCTCCTCGAAATAATCTGATCTCTAGTGCTTAAGTTTGGTGAAATAATATCAAAGATTTATTTCGACTAACTACCGCTGCGTCAGAGTTGGGATACTTATCACAAGTCAATGACCTGTCACTCACTTCTTGGTTAGATCCTATAAATCGAGAAATATTGCGAGAACTGGATCAAGTTAGGAGCTTAGTTTAGTTGAAGATTTCAGGGGATTGTTGTCCAGGTAATGATGTTTGTAGTGTGAGTTCACTCCCAGGTCTAGAGCTTAAGTATGGTGATGAGGCTTCTCATTCTGTCACACTGACGATCCCTAACCAATGCAAAACCAATCAGCTACACTCGAGGGTTAAAGGGAAAATGTGTTCAGATGTTACGTTGTTGATGTTGCTTCCTCAAAGAAGAATAAGGAAAGTTCTTCTTGTGTTTGTCTAGACGGCTCTTTTTTAGTTCTTATGGAGATTTGACCCTTCACAGGGCATGGCGCATCCGCCACAAAAGTGTGGGAGTGTTTAGGTGAATCCCAACTTGTGCGTCTACTAGGTCTTTTCCGTTGGCGTCATAGAGTAATGATTTAGACGGCTTGGTTAAGGATGGTGTAATACCCCATATTTTTATACATATATTAAATTAAAGTATTATTTTATGGCGTATTTAAATTATTTAAAATGAATTATTTATGGTATTTTAATAATTCAAAAAGGTTTATTTTAATTAAAAATCCATGTTTATTTATTTGTTTGTTTTGGAAATATTTTACTTCATTATTTAGAAACTTTGGGGCATATTTAATTTATAAAAGGAAGTTTTAAAGTCAATGAAGTTTTAAAGAAAGTCAAATGCCAATTAGAATGGGAGTAAGAATCATTAAGGGTAGAAAGGAAAATTAAGTTAGGAGGGTTTTGAGAGAGAGTATAAATACCCATCTTAAGAGCAAATTAAACTTTGCCCAAGGTGGAGAATACCCAAAGGTAAAATCTCTTTCTCTCTCCTCTTTATTTTTTTTCTTTCCCCTTAATTTCCCCCCCCCTTTACTCACCTCACATGCACACCACCACCACCGACCGGTGGTTGGTTGCCACTACCACCACAGCCGGTCGCCGCCAGCATGGAGCGGCAGCAACAGCAGCCGCGGGAGCTAGGGTGGCGCACCGACCACTCTCCCCTCCCTCTTTGAGTGCGTGCGGTTGTGTTTAAAACAAAAAACTTCTTCTTCTTTTGTCTTAAATCAATCTAGCTTTGATTAATTATTGCTTTTGGGTGTTTGTGATGATTTTATGATGTTTTAATAATGATTAATATATATATAATTTTCAGATTTGGTTTTTGAATTAAAAAGCCCCAAATTGATAAACCCTAGGTTTCTAAATTGATGTTAATTGATTATATTTGATTGTAGTTGATTAAAACTATTGAAATTAATGTTTTTAAACTAAATTACAGCAGGTTCAAGAGTTTTTATAATGCTGGAATTTTTATGTAGAGGCTAGAATTAAGTCTCTTGAAAGGATTTTAATTACCCATTAATTGGGAATAAAAGTAGATGGTTTTAATTAATTTTCAGCATGTTTTAGAAGGTTTAAAAGTATTTTAAAGACTGTATATATTGCTTGAAATTTATTATGAATAGGTATTAATGTCTATTTGTAATTTTGGGTCGTAGGAGACTTCCAAGTGAGTGATTTCGTGTAGTCGTGGCGATTTTGAGATCATATTCGAGGTACGTTCGCATACTCGGTAATTATTTAAGTGTATTGAAGCATGCTAGGACTTGTTTAATGAATTCCAAGTTAGTATCATGATAGGAATTGGTTGGAATTATTGGTTGGATTGATTTTGGTGATTGATTTGAAAAGCATGAAGTGTTTGAGGTGAATTATTGATTGGAATTAATTATGATGGCATGTTGAATATGGACCACACTTTTATTATTGGCATAATCAAGAGCATGTTTAATTAAACTAAATGTTTAATTTGGTTTGGATTATGAAAAGGGAATTTTATTATGTTTCATATAATTTTTATTGATGCTATAAGCATGAGGAATGAGCTATTTTAAGTGTCTATGTACACGAGGATTAAATTATATTATGGTGCCTTAGTGCACTTAAGGTGTTCTAAACACCGAGGGATAGGATTTGTGGTGCATTATGCGCTGTTATTTAACGCCGAGGTAGTTTAAAAAGGGTTCAACATTAAATTAAATGTGGTCACTAATTATTCAAGAATTTAATTGGTATGTTTGATTGCTTGAATGATTTATGATGATTGATTGAGTTGTGGATTGAGAGTCATCACCAAGTCTAAAATATGTAAATAACGTAAAGTGAATAAGATTATGCATCAAAACTCTTGGAACGTATATACCTTGAGTATGAACATATGGGGGGAGTTATGGGGTTTTATATTTAACTATAGCTTCTACTGGGAGTACAGGACGCTGTATTTTCCTTTTTATTATTATGCGCAGGAATTTCGCCACTTACGAGTGGTTCTTTTATACTGGCACGGTTAGCTCCCGTGTTAGTACCCCTTTATTGGGGCAGGTTAGAGGGAAACATGTTCGATGCGTAATCAAAATAAATAAGCAATGAAAATGTTTATTGAATGAAATGTGTGTTTGTAAACAGGTGCAACAAGGTAAGTTGTGTGATGCTAGGATGTATGCATGTTACTGTGAATCGTTTACGCTTATGTACTCAACATTGCTAATTGTGTGTATTGTATGTTTGTTGGCCTTGTGTTTATCCTGGCCCTACGACGACCTATTTCTAATTGCGAGTAGTGGGGACAAAGTAAAGAGAAACTTTTCAGGTGATGGAGCATTTTCATGATGGGCATGAGTGAAGAGCGAATCTTGTTTAGTTCCCATAAGAATATGATGCGTTTAATTTGCTTTAATTATTATATATTTTCTTGTGAGACTAATGCAATGATTTTTAATATTCATTTGGGTTTTGAAAATGGTCTACAATGGTTCCAAGTTGTAGTTGACTACGTTTGACTTTGGTTTGACTTTACTTTTGTTTGGTTGACTTTTAAGTGTTGGTTTTATTTTTGAATGGTTTTTAAAACAAGTCTTCCGCTGTGTGTCTTTGATAATTGCCTTAGCCATTTTCACGGTGGCGGTAATGTTTTAGAATTTCCTATTTCGTATTTTAAAAAGGAAAAACAGGTATTTTAAAAAAAATGAATTTCTAGGGTGTTACAGATGGGAAGCAACATCATATATAGGTTTGTTAACTCGCGGAATCGCAAGTCATGTATGCTGGTTCCGACAGAATCTTTGGGGAAAGTTGTTTCAGGCAGAGAACTCCAAATCCTGCTAGTTTTCGTTTGTCACTATTCGAGTTGTTTGGGTATTAAAACCAATCAGTGCAAGGAATCTCCTTCCTTGAGCCATCAGGATGTTCCCTCGAAAACATCTGACTCCTCTCCAACAGGTTCCTCCCCTACTAGTTGCTCCCTTGGATTTTGGTTTCCCCTCTTCATTGGCCGAAATAATTCCTCTAGTTGTCTTGCCACATTTAGATGTTAACTATTCTTGGGGTGTTTAGTTTTCAACACGGTCCCTGTTAGCTAATCAATCGGCCACTTTACATCATCGTCCATCTCTAGGATTTCGGAAATCGGGTAGCAAAATGCATGTTCCTAATCATTTATTATTTTGCAGGGTTAAGGTTGGTTGCAAATGTAGGCGAGCTTCGTTCATAACAGATTTCTCTTACAACGAATTGAATAACTATTACGGGTTTTGTTTCATTTTTAAAGAAATGTACTTCAACAGGTGCAATCCCTTATTCCTTGGTTTATGACACCAAAGCAATTCACCTAATTGAACTGGAACTACCTTCCGACACCCAGAAAGCAAGCTACGTTAGGGTTGGTTCACTTGCTTTATTTGAACAGGAAAGATAGCCGAAATTAGCAGTTAGATTCTCGAGAATCCCTTTATCCGGGCAAGAAGGCGGGTATTAGCCAGGAAAGAACGGGTGGCTCCCAGACACTACCTGGTTGCGATTCGGTGGCCGACCAAAGGAGTTTTGGATCACTCCAGTGCTTCGGGTACTACGGACCCTCTGCCATCCACATTGCAGCAAAGTCGTTTCATGAGTGGGGGGGGGGGAAGAAAAGAAAAGAAAGGTGCCTAATCCCTGTATAGCTGTGAGAGAGTGCCCGGCAAGGACTCCTGTGATAGAAGATGTATGTTCTTTAACGTAACATTCTATTTTTTTTAGGAAAAAAAATGTGTCAAAAAAAATAAAAATAAAAGAATGTTACATCAAAGAAACATAACATTCTATTTATTTGGTTATACTATTATTAGGGCTTGTTTAGTTCATCTTATTTTTGCTTATCTGAACTTATGTGATCTAGTATGATCTAATCTGATTGCATGATTTGACCAAACTTTGGCCTTAAGTGTACGATATAAGGAAAAAATATATAAAGTGGGTCTTGTTAGATTCGTAATATTGTGTATTTTACTAATATGTAATTTTCATAATTTTTTTCATTACGAAATTAAAGATATTTAGCGATAAAGAAACTGCACATAAAACAATGATCAGATCTGAACTTATTTTTTATGATCTTATCAAATCTGAACTTATTTTTTCTAATCCGATCTAATTTGAACTTATTTTTTCTGAAATAAGTAAAAATAAGTAGAACTAAACAAGGCCTTAGGGGGTGTTTGGTTAATGTATTTTTTGGATTGAAAACGGATTCGATTAAACCGATACAGTTACCGTATATTTGGATTGAAGGCATACTAACAATTACCATTACTTAAGGGTAATGATTACCCCTCATTTGTTACCTCTTGAAAACTTGGGGTAACAAATACCCTTACTCTCCTCTTAACAAATACCCTTTGCATGGTTAAACCAAACAAATGAAAAGGCAAGCTAAATGATTCCCTTCTCCCCTCTTATTTGTTTCCTTTTCACTCCGTTTCCAATTTCTGAACCAAATGCCCCATGGTGTTTTACTTGGTTGTTTCGTGTTCTTGTACCTCAGCTTGTATTACTATTTTCGTTAAATAAACCTTTGTCAAAAAAATTTGTTTTAAATAAAAAAAAAAAAAAAAGTCTAGAAAAAAATCGCAAGATTCCACCGTTGTCAACTCATTATCATATTTACGAATAAAAAAAGGAAAACAAACTCAAAACACCCCTTAAACACACTTCCCTTCTTTTTCACCCCTAAACCCTCTTAAAACCCCTGATCCACATTTCCATCCCATTTTCTCTCTCCTTTCCTCAACCTCTAGGGTTTCGTCCAAACCCTTCATCAATGGCGGCTCCTCGAATTCTCTCTCCTCTCTCTCGCACCCTCTTCACCACCACCACTTCCACCTCCAAGCAATCCCTCGCCTCTTTCCTCCTCTCTCGCCCCTTCTCCGCCACCACCGCCACCACTTCTCCCACCACCTCCGCCGCTTTATCTCTCCTCCGCCTCCGCCCCCTCGCTTCCGCCGCCTCACTCCACCGCTACCCCGCCGCTTTAACCACCACTTCTTTCCGAACCTTCGCCACTCGTCAGACTCAGAATTCTCTCTCCGATAATAACCCTAATTGGTCTAATCGCCCTCCTAAGGAGACCATCTTGCTTGATGGCTGTGATTTTGAGCATTGGCTTGTTGTTACTGAGCCCCCACCTGAAAATGCTACCAGAGATGAGATTATTGATTCCTTTATTAAAACCCTAGCTGAAGTTATTGGAAGGTATTTCTCCTCTTATTCTTCCCTTTTTATCATTTGATTTCTTACTATTTGTTGCATTTTTGGTATATGATTGCGGTATACTGAACGATTAATTAGGAAATGATGGATGGGTGGTTTGTGTGTTTGGTATATTTTTCGGGTCGTAAAGGTATTGATGTAGACGGGGTTTGATTCGAGGGATTGGGTTCAACGCCAATATCGTAACCAATTAAACTATTTGGCATTAACTTTGTTTGATATTTTGTTGATCGCTGGTTGTTGCTTTCATTTTCTGGGTACTATGCAATTTAACTTTGGCTTTTGATATGAACCCTTGTTTAGATGGTCTTTGATTGTATTGCTGACCTCCTTTTTAATAGTGTTTGCTATTTTAGGAATATAAACATTTTGTATTGTTTGGGTTAGGCATTTGTTATTTTAAAGGTATGGAGTTAAATTTAAGTATCAGATATTTGAAATATATTTTTAAAAACTAAAATTGTTTTTTCAAACCTTGTACAAATGGAAAAACTCCTATTTTTAGTCTGCACTTCAAAAAAGAGATATTATTTTCTGATCAAAATTGATTACCCTGTAGTTCAGATAGATTTGTAGATTTTTTCATCGGTTTGCACTACCTTACAGAGCACTGACCTGCAAAGGTCATTGTTGTAATCACAAAATGATGTTTAGACTTTAGAGTGTCATTTGGGTTGTTGTTTGATGTGTTTAGGCAAATTGTGATAGTTTGATGAGTTGAGACTCTTGCGAGCAATAGAGGGTTTTCCTTACACTCAACCAAAGTAAATATCTTTTGCGTGGTTATTATTGCCCAAGGTGTGCTGGTTTCCCAACTATGTTACTCAGCCTCTTAAGTATATGTATACCGTTTGTCAAAGGTGGGTTAGTTTGCTGTTGTAGGAGATAAAGATCTATGAATTATGTATACAGTATCTGCAATGTTATCTGTGTGGTTCTGTTTGACGGCTAGAACACTAGGTCACTGTGGTGGGCCCTGGTAGCATAAAAGTCCAGGCGAAAGGAATGAAATTTCATTCCTGTTTGAATCTGCTTCACACAAGTTCCCTGAAATAATGTGTAATGTCTGCACTGTCAGGCGTTTATCTGCTGTGCCTGCTATGTTAGACATAGGGGTGAGCAAAGATCCAGGGTACCCGGTACCGGACCCGGAACCGGTAAGGACCTGCCGGGTCCGGGCCCAGAACTAGTCTCACCGGTTCCGGGACCGGGTCCAAAATTTCGGACCCGGTTGTAACCGGTTCCGGTTCCAAATCCTAAAATTTTGGACCCGGTACCCACTGGGTACCCGGTTGTATATGATATAGTATGTGGATTGTTTGTGTTTTTAAGAAACTAAAGAGTTATGTACAGCCCATTTTAATTTCTAAGCCCAATTGCTTATAAAACTCTCAACCCACTATCAAACAAAACCCTAAAACTTCTAGATTTTTCTCTCCGCTCTACTATACCGGTTACCCAACATATATTGTACAAAATATATTTAAAAAACAAAAATATGTTGAACGTAACTAATTAGTAAAATAAATAAAATATATTAATATTTAATATAATTAAAAAATAGCTTAATGTATATAAAAATATAAGTATTAAACGCTAAAAGTAAAAATACACCAAAAAAAAATATTATGATTTGTATTATATTTCAACACTTATATATATAAGTGGGTACCCGGAATCGGAACTGGTACCCGGTGGAACCAATTCCATTTCCTAAATTTTAGGACCCGGTTGTACCGGTTCCAATTCCGGTTCCAAATTTTAGGACCCGGTCCCAACCAATTCCGGGTCTGGATCCTAAAATTTTGATTGGGTACCCGGTTTGTTCACCCCTAGTTAGACATATGTTCCTGTTTCTGGGAGTTTCTAAAGCTTGCATACTGTAAGTTGATTCTGGAACTTGTACTAGTTAAGTCAAACATTTTGAGACTTAGGTCTGCTGTTAGGAAGTATAGCCGTTTTCATATAACTGGTTAAGTGGAGGCAGTTGGAATACTTTAGGGGTCGTTTGGTTGGATCATTTGGAATGGATTGGAATGGAGTTAGAATCCATTCCATCTATTGTTTTTTTTGTTTGGTTGAGTTTTTTAGTAATGGAATCTCATACCTAAGAGATTCTGATTCTACCCCATACCTATGGAATCCCATACCCCCCCTCCCCCCTCTTAAGATTCACAATCCATTCTATTAATGAAGAATACAATCCATTCCAACATTATACCAAACAACTTTAGACTAGTATGAGTTTTAGAATCCATACCTCTCTAGTATGCAATTCCATTTCAATTCATTCCAATATAATGAACCAAACACCTCCTAAGTTGATTCTGTAACTTGCACAATTTAATTCAAACATTTTGAAATTTAGGTCCTGGTGTTAGTATAGCTGTTTTCATATAACTGGTTAAGTGGAGGCAGGAAGAAGAATGGTTTTGAGTTTTGGGGAAATTGGGTTTGCAGATGTTAATTATAGGTGTTTAATATCTGACAAGACTCTTATATGAATTGTACTGATCTACTGCTTTATTGTTGTTTTTTTCAATGCTAAGTGTCCAATATATTTTGAAATGTAGGAGGCAATCTTTTAAGGTTGGTATTGTTAGTCATGGTTATTTGGGGTGGTTAATATTGGATTGCATATTAGTGACTTTGTCCAATGATTTATCTGCCAGATCTTGCGTTTAGACATCAGAGTACAGTAATGTAAATACTATTGGTTATTTGATGGTTCTTTATGCTCTTTCTACATTTTGGGAGCAATTTTGTTCTGTTTTATTTTTATTTTTTCTTAATTTTGTAAAAAAAATGCAGTAAGGATTAGCTTGTGTTATTAGATTTAGCCTCTGTTACGTTGCTTCTTTAGGGTGCTGCTGTGTTGGTTGAATTTAACTATTTAAGTGCCGTAATTGTTGGCTTGTTTTATGCCTCCTTATGTGCATACTTGTTCCAGAAGTAGTTATTGATATAACTGTAATGTATGCTTCTTGCTAGACTATGGTAATAGTAGACAGATGAGAGCTTCACACTTGAAAATAGATTTGATGGGGGTAAAGTGTGAGAATTTATCCATGTGTGCAACCACATGAGAATATCATTTATTCATTATTCTTAGCTTTTTACCTGATTGGGAGGTGACATTTTTATTGCATGATTTGTACTTGTATATTATTCTTGCTCCATGTGGTATTTGCTTTGATTGTTACATCTGTTTGATTTTCTTTCTGCTTTATTTTCTCAATATGTGGTGGATTGAACTTTCAGTGAGGAAGAAGCAAGGATGAAAATATACTCTGTCTCAACCAGACATTACTTTGCGTTTGGAGCCTTGGTGTCTGAGGAGTTAACATACAAACTTAAAGGTTGACATTTGCTGCTTAAAAGCCTATCCAGTGTTCAAAGTATTTATGTTTGTGAAAAGCTTATGGTTTGGATCCTTTGATTTTTGCAGAGTTGCCCAATGTGCGTTGGGTCCTCCCTGACTCGTACTTGGATGTCAAAAACAAAGATTACGGGGGTAAGAAATCGATGAATTTGATAGCTTTTTAGTAATTTCTGCTGTATAACTGACATTTGAAATATTTGTGTTGCTGTTAACCTATCTATCTATATATATATATATATATATATATATATACACAAAATTGCCTCTTTGTAACACAAAAACACTATGTTGCTCAAATTTACAAGGCCATAGTAACATGTCATTTGTTTGCTGCTCTGGTATTGCTTGTTCCATCTTTTTTTCTAATGTTATATACTTTTCCTCATTACTCTTTTTGTTGACGTTTGGAAATTTGCACTATTCATATTTTCCCATTTGGCCTCCTTTGTTACTTTATATGCTGGGCAAACTATAATCATGTAGGATCTTTTTAGATTCGTCTCAATTATATATTTACATTATATCAATTGTTATATATTTTACTTCTCTGTAATTAGATATTTTTAAGGTTGAAATTATGCATTGACAAGTGTTAAGTCTCAAAACGTTGCAACTAAAAGCGAACGGAGGAAGTATTAGCTTTTGCCATAGCATGATGCTGTACATTATTGGTTGATATGGCCTCTCCTTTCCACTCAGTACTCATCCACACCCCTCCCCCTCCCTCTCTCTTCTTCCTCTCTCCTCTCTCTCTTCTACACCAAAAAAGGTAAAGCCAGTATTCACTTCCTTGGGGAAATGCTTTAGGTACCTGACTCGTAAATGTTGTTTACTGCAATATTTTGATCTTTTATGGCATTCTTGACAGGGGAACCATTTATCGATGGTCAAGCTGTTCCATATGATCCTAAGTACCACGAGGAATGGGTAAGGAACAATGCAAAGGCACAGGAGCGAAACAGGCGCAATGACAGACCTAGAAATGCCGATCGCTCTAGGAACTTTGACAGAAGACAAGGTGGAAGGGGCCCACCAAACACTGGTGGTGTGACACCTAACATGCCACCCAACAATGCTGGATATGCACAGAACATGCCACCCAACAATGCTGGTTATGGACAGAACATGCCGCCACCCAACAACGCTGGTTATGGACAGAACATGCCACCACCCAACAATGCTGGTTATGGACAGAACATGCCACCACCCAACAATGCTGGTTATGGGCAGAACATGCCACCACCCAACAATGCTGGTTATGGAAATCCAGGATATGCACAGAACAGAGGAAATGCTCCACCTCCTAACTATGGGGGGCAAGGAAATCCTGGCTATGCAGGCAACACCAGGCCAAACCAACAAACAGGTGGAGGGATGCCTTATCAGAATGCGCCTCAGAACTATCCTCCACAGAACAGCAACATCGGAGGGCAGCAAGGTCCTCCTGGTGCCTATCAGCAAGATGTGCCTGGAAGAGATGGACCAAACTATCAGTGATGTTTTTGTAGATAATTTACTGATATTTAATGCCTACTAGAACCTTATGATACCTTTTAAGTAGTTGTTTTGGAGGTACTAAGTGAACTATAGGATGTAATGGGTGGGTGATGCAATATTTTGCAGTGATTATCATTTGCACTGTAACATTTGTTAACTTTCAGTCCTCTGAGGTGTTATTTTGGCCACTTGATAGGTTTATGGACAATTGTTTTATTATTCACTACTATGCAATGATAAGACCTTAGTGTTTACAAGGTCATGATGCATAACGATATAGTGTTAATTTTCATAACTTGTGAATCTAAAGGCTAGGATGGTTTGAGGGACCTTAGTAGCATGGGAGATGCCTGGTACTCTATTAAGAGGATGAAGGATGATGAATTGATGAAATAAGTTCTCAAAGTCACATACTTGATTGCACTTGTCATATAAGGATTTCATTGGAGTTTTATATTCAGTAAAAATCTAACCTTTCATTTACACTAATCTTTCATCTAATCTATTCTTGATTGTACGATTTGCATTTTTTAATGAAATATTTTATACTTTCTCCCCCCCACAAACTCCAAGGCAAAAGTTTTTAGAGGAGTTTAATTAAAAGTTGGGGTATGTAATTAAGTAGAAAAAAAGGAGAGAAAAGGGTGTGGGCCTCAAATTTATTTATTTTTTTTTATTTGGTGTGTCTTGGTGTAGAGGGATGTTTGTTTTCCCTCCCAATTTTTTACAAATTTTAAATTATTATATGGGCTTTTCACTTGAAATTTTCCCTCCAACTAAAAACTTCACCCTTTCATTCACCATATAAAAGGGGCAGCAAGCATTCAATGTTTAAATTCATACAGACCATGAATTTAAGTGCATTAAATACAGTCATCAATGTTTCACCCAAAATAACCCATAAATTACAGCCATAGTCGGCCATAGTTAAACTAAGGGCAACATTAGCTTCCGCTTCATTACCGCTTCAACAAAAAATATCAGGCAAAAAACTTCATCTCTTTCCTTCAAATTTGCACAAATTCAATCAAAACACAAAAGATGACAATTTTTATTTTTTTTAATTTTTTTTTATGAAAACTTCTATGGTATAGAGCAATTATTATTGGGAAATGAAAACATATGCAAGATATCGATACAGACAACCAGTGGCGGATCTTGAAACTCTTTCTTTCGAGGGCCAATAATTACTAGCATGATTATTGTTAGTACATTAGTGATTAATTTATTTATTATCAATACATCACAATTTACCAATTCAAGCATTGAAAAAAATTAAATTGTCAATTGATAGATAATAGAAATAAAGAACGAGATACCGAAGACAAAAACGTACTCTATACTTTCAAGTGAGCAATTTATTAACCACAGTAACGTCTTGTCTCCTAAAATTATGAATTTGCTTTTGAGTGCTCATACTAATCATCAAAGAAATTTAATTGAAAAAAAAAGAACATTGAAGAAATTATATAAAAAAATGGAACAATACGGAGTAGTTAATAAAATAACAACAATGTTAAACGAATTAAAACAAAACCTATTGTTTTTCAAGGTGCAAATACTTTATCAATTGATGGTTTGATAAGGAAAGAATGAGTGTAGTAAAAGAAGGAAAGAGTTTAAGGGTTGTCAGAGCTTTATTGGGATTTGGTCATTTGGGTAGTTATAGTTGTAGATTAGTACTCTTATAATGTTATTATATATACTATGTATTCTAGGAAATAAAAAACAATCAATTTATTTTATTGGGTCTTTACCCACTACTCTAATAGTGTACAATTTTTTCTCCAAACCTTTCAGGGGCCAAGCTCCATTGAGCCCTAATTAACTGCCCCTGTAGACAACGTGGAGGAAGAAGACATGATAGAGAGTGGTGCAGATCAACATGATGCCGCAAATCATGTAATCAACAGAAAACAACTCACTGTCAACCAAAGAAAAAGAAATAGTGGATGAGATTCTTGTGAACATGCAGGGGGGACTGTACCAAAGGGTGTTTTTCTTTTTTTTTTTTTTTTTTTTTTTTTTTTTTTTTTTTTTGTCTCAATTGGCAGTAATATATGAGATTCACAAAAGTAGAATAACCAGATTACTGCAAAACATAAAGACACAAATGGCAGAGAGGAATGTGATTGATGTCATGAATAAGAAACTTGGGAAAACGGGTCCCAAACCAAAAGAATATTCTGATGAGTGGTTACAGTCAGTTCTTTTGTATCTAAGGACCACAAAAAAAAAAACTTAAATGCCTCGTTTTGCTAATTAAGAAATATCTCGATTTATGTATTCACGTTTTAATACGCAAAACAAGGCATTTACGTTATTTTTTTTGTGAAATCTGAGTTCAATTTGGTTCCTTAAGGACCAAAGTAGCCTCCAAAACCTTTAACATAATATTTTCCAACGTGCAAATCGATAAAAAAATATTAATAAATTGAAAGTGGACCCCACTAACGGAATTTTTTAACGGCGGGATAACGGCAAGGTTACCATATGGAAACAAAATGTATATTGAGGTTACAGTGTGGAAAGTGATATATGTTGGGGCACATTGTAGGTAAACGAAATTAACAGGGTTGTTATATAGAAAAACCCAAAAATTTATTTTACTACCAGACTCCACTTTAGACCATTTTTTGACGTCACTTTTCCCCTTAACCCACGTTTAACCCTTACTTAAACAATTTAAACGACAAAAAAGGGAAAATAAAAAAATTTCTCCTAACCAATGGTTACCTTAGCTAACTTATCTTCCTCCTTCGACATTGCTAAAAACCCTCCAAGCTTCTTGCTCCAAATTCACACTAATTCTTCCCATCTATCCACCAATTTCTCTAGGTGAACATGTAACTCGCCTATAATAAATTTGTCTTTCAAGGTTTTCAAATTCTAGGGTTTTCGAATTTTAGGGTTAATGGGTTATGACTTGGGTTGCTTAACACAGGGCTTTTGTATTTTTCTTTGAATTAAGCTATCAACTAAGCATAATATGTGATTTTTCTTTGAATTAAGCTATCCATGAATTCTAGCGTGAAATTGTAAATTGTTTCTTTTTCGGTTTTCCTCCTTCAGTAATCCCTTCCTTTATTTCTAGTCAATTTTGCAAAGTAAAGGATTTGTTGGAGAGCAGAAGATTCGTGACGCCAATTTGTAGAGTGTTCTTCTATGGAGGTTGAAGGTTAGAGGGTCAAAGTGAAGTTATGATAGAGAAAGAAAGGAAATGGGGGTTTTAATTTAGCTAGGGTAACCATTAGTTAGGGGGATTTTTTTGGGTTGTATTTAAATGCTTAACTAAGGGTTAAACGCGGGCTACGGCGAAAAATGACGTCATAAATGGTCTAAAGTGGAGTCTGGTAGTAAAATAAAAATTTTAAAATTTTATACGGTAGTAATTTACATTTTTTTTAATTCGCGATAGTAATTTTGAAAATGACATTAATACGTGGTAATCATTGACAAATTTTCCTTTTTGTTGATTCTCAATTATATTTCTTCCCTTTACTTTGGTGTCAAAATGCAATTACATACGAAATATTTACATATATATAGCAGATTTAGACCATGTTCACTTCACCTTATAAAAATAATATTTAGTAAATTATTTAATTTTAACTCAATAAAAATAATTTCATTTTAGTAAAAAAAAAAAAGTTTTTACTCAGTTGTAGGGAATTTTTCAAACTCAACCTTTTGAGCCCCACTGTGGTCATGCGTTTAGGCATGGAGGTGCTCCAAGGGAAGGAAGCTAGAAATAGAGGAGTCGCCAAAAAGTTTTAGGAACTTGTAAACCGTTCACAAGTGCAAAGGTTACACCCCATTCACGATCACGGAGATCGCTAACTCCTTAATGGTCCGGAACCATGACTGGATATTGGGGGATGATGGTATGAATCCAACCCAAAAGAGATTGAACCCGCCCTAAATCGACCTCTACTTAATTCTTATGATATTCGTGTGCGCTTTTCGATTAACATACATACATCAAGTTGCCCTAAACCTGTTTAATCTATATTGGTTGATTATTAATGCACAATCAAATCTATTATTGGTGATCACTTGAATTAAAATCATATTAGCCTAAATTCAAATTATTAATTATCTTATTAGGCGTGATTTCAAGTACAAATTCCCTTTAAACCTGCAAGAAAGGGCGTGATCAAACAATAACAATCAATCATGAATAATCAAGCAACATATAATTGACACAATAATCATCATCATAATCAAAATCTTCAAAACATCATTAGTAAGATCCTAGGCATGATACTAAACGGATTAATAACAAATCCTAGCATGTCACTAATAAAATCATAATCAAAGCTTTAACCTAAACATGATACTAGAAACATGATATTAGAAATTTTAATTAACACCCTAAACATGATACTAGGAATCAAAACCAACATCCTAACATGATACTATTAATCATAAAAGCATCCTAACATGATACTAGGAATTAAAATAATATTATAAACATGATTTCTATTCCAAAATCTAAAGAGTAAAGATCGTAGATCTATTCACTTTGATGCCTCAGCTTTATTTCTATCAAAACAATACACACGTCAGTAACTTCAAGAAAGACAAAAATCACTAAAGTAAATAAATCAAATATGGATTGAAATATAGATTTTGGGACCAAACCCTCAAAACTATCAACCTTTCACGTCGAGGTCGAAGGTAACGTCGAGGATGGTTAAGATTATTCAAATCTCGTGAAGGAAGTATGGTGTTAAAGAGTATCAAAAGTGTGTGTTGGATGTGTTTAGGCTAGGCTAAGAACATGAAGAATTAAGAGAGAGAGAAAGAATATTAGAGAGGATTGATGATGATTGTTGGTGATTGAAAACGGGGTAATATGACCTCTATTTATAGGGAAAAAAGAGAGTCAAAACGATAAGAAAAGAGTCAAAATTCAAATCAAAGTAAAATAGGTCTTATCGCGACGCTAAAGCTTTATCGTGGTGCGAAAGGTCCATCGTGGCGCGATGGTGCTGTCGCTCAGCGATGGTTTTGAAAAGATAGAATTCCTACAGAGTTTGATTCCCAATTGGATTGGGTTAACCAAATATCCGTATGTATTCTATTTTGACCGGGATTAGGATCATTGAAAAACAGAGTTTTTATCCGATGTAAAATTCTTAAATCTTTATCTTTTCGAAAACAGGATAAATTAGAACCTTCTAGAGGATTCCAGAAGCTCATTATAAATCCTAATGGGTTTAGGAATGGAACTAAAGTATTTGGACCCTCATGATCATTGGGTCGTAGGTAA